GTCTAAATTCTGCACCTCCATTTTGACATTTTAATGAATTCTGATGATTTGTCAATGACAATTTTGATGACTTTTCTCACTTCAATACCAATATTCTTTAGTCAGATTTGTGCTCTAGTCATAGTTGTACATTGTATACCAGTAAATACAATGCAGGTAGCAGTTAACATTTTAGGGGGCTTTTTTATTCAGGAAAAAGGGTATGTCCCCATTTTTAAATGTGTGAAATTTTGATGTAGTCTAAATTTGTAGTAATATTATTATGAAGGTGTTTATGTACTTGCACATGTATTTCCTTTTTGTGAAAAAAGATGTAATTTTGCTCTGTAGATTACCGTAGTGATTTAAAGGTAGATATTGATGATGCAATATATACATTTGTCTTTATCATTGCTTTGCGTGTGCTATTGCTGTTATTGTACAAAGGAAAGTGTGTTATTTTGACTACATGGTTTAGATTGTTGAGAAAGGGATGTTATCAAACCGGGTATTTCTCTGAAAGGATTTGCACAACTTATTCATTTCTTCAATGAGGAATGACTAAAATGTCAACTTTTCAAATTCAAATGTTTAATATGACTTCAATTAGTATGTTCCCAATAATTGATGTACATGTATTTTCATGTGATTCAAATGAAGATGTGAAAACAAGATCATGGTGAATCAATTTATGGGATTGTAAAACTATGGCGTTTGCAGTCTTGTGGACTTTCCCTTTAATTGTTACCAAAATATGTCTGTATACATGTATATTGAATACAAAAGCTTTCATTTGTTGTTAAACTTTTCCATTTTGTTACTGCGGAGCCAGAAACTGGCAAATTTGAGTCATTGAAATTCGTGAAATTTCAGCATTAAGATTTGATTGAATGACAAGTGACGAAATGAAATATTTGCAATTTGGTGAAGTCTTTTGCTGTGAAAATGGCTGTCATTGTACAATGCATACAAACTATTTACAGCACTTTTTCCTCATGCGATTAAATAACATGAAATTGAAAGAGCCATGAATATTTAATTTTTTTTAAAAACTTTTTTCATGTTACAAATAATACTGTAATTATAATCATTGACGTTCTTCTGGTCAATATCCATTATTTATTTTTCCAGCTTTTTGTTTTTTTCAAGGTGCTGCATTTCAGTTTAAAATATGAATAGTCTCTGTGCTTATGTTTTGCTATAGATATAAAACAATCTTATTTTTTATGCCATTTGAAATTATAGCTTTATGTTTATAGATGAAATAAATATTGAGTGTTAATGAATGTGACTTTAACCCAGTATCTTGTCCTTGACTATCATGTTCTCTCTGCTCTTTATTAGTCTTAAAGGTATAGATTAGTTTTAGAAACGCCCCCCCCCCCCCCCCCCCCCCCTCTCAAAAATGAAATGGAAGCTCTTATTATCGGTACCAATCATGCGAAAGAATATGTTTTGACTAATATGTGATGACACAAATTTTGCCGGTAAACTGCCTACTAATTGATATATTTGGTAAATTATTATATCTATCCGGACTGGATAGATATCGCTTAGTCCCATATACTGATACATCTTTCTGTGTACTGGGCCAAATTGCATTACGTTTGTTCCCCTGCTATATATTATTTCCCCTTCTCAGCTATGGTTTCCCTCATTGAAAAGTAAAGGTTTTGTTAATACTGAATTAAAAGGTCTTTCCAACTAAAACTTGGTGCATGATACATGTACAAGTTTGCCTGGTGTGTCACATTTTCAAGAAGATGGCTGCGCCCATGGTATGCCAAAACGCATTACATCATGCCAAGAATATCTCAATTTAAATATCTCTTGTACACTTTCGTAAGGAATTTTGTACATCAAAGGGCAAGAATACATCTCATTTTTCAGAATATCTCCTCTTATACTATGGAAGGAGGTTTACTTTAAATTTTATTTCTGATCAGGCCATTGCAGTGTGAAAGAAACTGGAAAGCAATATGGACATGTTGATATTGTAGTGCATAAAGAGAGCCGTCTTTTTTTTCGGAATGATCCTGATTGGAAAGAAATAGTAGACCATTTTTGTAATGTAATTGAAATTGAATACACATATCATTGTTAGTGCCATGTTACAAATTATTTCACCCGTTATGAAAAATTGTATTTCAATAGTTAGAATGTAAATTGCATTACATTCCGTGTTTTTAGGTAGGGAAAGCCATAATGTTTGCTCTACCTAGCAACAACTAATGTACCGGTATGCATTTGACTTCGCACCATTGACATACAATGATATATATGTGTAAAACGGGTGAACGCAATATCTTGTCTCTAGGTGAACATGTATAAAATTGAATGCACTTTATAATTGGTCTATTCACCTGCAATACACAACAGCATGCCAGCGATGAAATCCACTTATTATACATTAGTAGTTGCTACATGTACGTCTGAGTTTGATAGAGAAAATTATGTTCAAGAAGCATGCATAAATTTAGTAAACGGGTCTATTCAATCAGCCACAAAGTTTTGGAGAGTGATTACCATTTAAGAATTATTCTTGAAATGGGCTTTTATCTTGTGTGACAAGCGTACTTTTTAAAATCTGTTTTTAAAGGAAATCTTTTAAGCCCTCCCCTCCCCCCTACAAAAAAGGGTTACATTTGACAATGATGATGCAAACATAGTGTCCAATGAAAGCTGCATTTATGTACTCTTGAAATATGATTGTGCGTTCTTCTTAAATGGTTGACCTCTGAACTTTGGTGACCTGTTTTATTTTTGAACAACATCAAAACACACACACACAAATAAACAAAGCAAAACAAAAACATATTTTTTTGTAATTTCTCATTTTATTCATCAATTGGCATCACAGTAACATAGGCTTCAGATACAATACTAATCTTAATAATCTCTTAATAATAATGAAGAATGTACATATTTCATTCTTTACATAACTTTACATTTTCATTAATTTTTTTTTTTTGCCCCGACATGCTTTTCCATCCCCATGCATATCAGAGAATATACATGTATCACACATCAATGTTATATATCTTCATGTAATATCCTTCACACGTCGCTATAATGTGTACACTTTTTTAATCCAATTCAACTCTTATCTACATATATTCTTTAGGAAATGAAATATTTAAACATTGATTGATGTTGCAAAAAATTGTTAAATTCTTTAATATAGCATGAAACAACTGATGGAACATGCAAGATATAAGAGAATATATCTCACATCATTTTATTTTGAGCAATGAAGATTTACAAAATGCAAGCTATATTTCATGTCTATGATCTGTGCATGTGTTCACGGAGAGTTTAGAAATGCATGGGTGTGTGATTCCATCAATTTCTGAAAAAGTGAAACTCTGAAAGGTCACAAAATCACAAAAGTTGTGTACCTTGAATTTTTGTGTTTAGACAGGTTCATGAATGATTTCTAAATGTCTGTGAAATTGAAACAAAACCCGACCCATTTTCTCTCTGCTCCTATAGGTCTTGACACAGCAACAATGTCTTCTGAATTCTAAAGGTATTCTCCTTCTCGTTCTTGACTTCATTTCATTGCATTCCAGACATTCATTTTAAATATCATATTTCAAATTTTGAGTTTTCCTTTCTTATCTTTCTCCCTTTTTTTGTAACCATTATAAAATGTTATTTTCTACAAAAAATAATTCTTTACTTCATATACATGGTGAAAACATTTAATAATTACATCATGTGAACTTCTCTCATAATTTATCCACAAAAACAAAGTTGGCCATTGACCATATTCATAATGTAATCAAAGTTAATGTATAAATCGCTGTAAAGTTACAAATTATTTATTATTTCATTCACGCGTTACAAATAAATGTATTTCAATAGTCGGGATGCAATTGTTGCTAAGTAGGACAAAATTCAATTCAAAACTCTTGAAAAACAATTATTCATAACAGCTGAATAAATAATATGTAACAAGACAAGGTTTACATGTACCTAAGTATTAAATGTGATTACATTACAAAAAGTGGTATATTGACAACAAATTTGATAAGCATCACACACAGCCAATACAATAATTGTATTTTAACATGCACCTGACACGATGTGTGCAAACAAGTATTAAATCGTACATATTGTAGTTAAGAAACACAACTTTGTATTGGTCTGAATGAACCCATAATTCAAGTTACACATGCAATGAAAAGATATTGATGCATGCACATCATGAGTTTTTAGTACGATTGCGAGAAACTTCATGCACAGCACATGCACCATTTTGAGTTAAACGTGTTATGGAAAATTCTTGATACCTGCACTTGCACACTGTTTTTTTGTTTAAACGATTTACAGGACCAATGTGCAGCAAGCGTCTGAACATACCCAACATTTGAGTTAGAAATATAATGTAAGAACCATGATATGTTGATATTACAACATTTTAATCCTCTGTGTCACCTATCTTGAGACAAGGGGTCTAATTGACTCGTAAACATTTGCAACAAATCTAATCAACCACAAAGTCCGGATTGCCAATTTGCTGAGTATAAAGAATAGTGATTGAGTCGAGATAGAGACTGATATCGAACTCAAATTTCGGGAACCATCTTTCTAAAAAGATTGAAGTGATCAGTAATTTGCCTCTAATCAAGTCTTCCAATCAATCGCAAAACGCAATATCCTATCTCTTATGTACATACACTGTATATGACCGATGTCAACCCAGAGTTACTTTCTAATCAATTCCAATCGTCTGCAACACTTTGCGAGACACTGCCCCAATATTGCATCATAGTATTATCAAAATACATATACATGTATACATACATTAACCGTTTCCATATGGACACTCTGGTATCACTTCCTGTAAAAATCAGAAAATCTTGCATGCATCTAACTCGTGTGTATACATGACTCGCAGAAGTCTCATGTTCATGCAGCTAAATCAGGGAAAATATTAATTTTTTCACAATTTCGTTAATGTTCTAGAACTTCTAGGCAATAGAACAAGCAATCTTTAACAATGAGCATTTCTTGTTGTCACGGTTTAAGAGTTTTCAGTTCAAAGAGCTATAAAACAATGATTTGCATGGAGAGAACAAATCATGTGTACATTCAAAGATTAAAGTTTTATTAAAGACGCATGCACTTATCAACTATTTTAGGCCTATGGACATCAAATGACCAGAAGGAAAATTAAATCACGGAGCGGTGATCGATTTAGCTCTCGTAAGCTTCAAAAGTGCTCAGTTAAATGGAAAAAACCAGCTCTGGTGAAAAACATCAAAATACTTAAACATCACTGTGAGAAAATCGCACTTCCTAAAAGATCTCCCATGAACAGAAAAGTATTTTTAACACTGATGACCAGGTAATGGTAATAAAAACAACAAGTGAAATATTTCTCCAAAAAAATTAAAAATTGTTGTCTATGTGTTTCACCAGATACAATAGATATGTGGAAAACAATAGGGCAAGTTTTTTAAATTTACTACGACGACTATCAATATGCTTTTAGATAACCATACATAATTCTTACTGCATTTTAAGATGGCCTCATGAGTTTATTTTTACCACAAACATTTCAACACGAAAATGGTCAAAAGTGACTTTAAGGTCATTCAAGAGGCATTGACTTCACAGGATTTCAGAATGAAGTGAAGATACATGTACAGGCATCTTTCTTTTATTGAAAGAATAAAATCTTGATTATATTCAATATATACTATCTCTCCCAAGTACCTTTGAAAAATCCTTTTCATTGAAGTCCTTAAAATTGCAATCTACATGTTTAAGCTAAATGTACATTACAAATGTAGATTACAATTACTACTTTTAGCAGTAACAACATATGATTGATAGTAATACTAAAATGATTAATTGGATTGACATTTGTCGTAAAAGGGGACACTCGTGTCCCTTTGTTTCTTATCTGTGAAAAATGTATAAAGATCCCAAATCATTACAAACATTAAAACAAGAAAGACTAATGATTTAAATGCAATTGATTTTCAAAATGATACTTTTTATGTAAAAATAAAAATGCAGGCAGGAAAAAATGCTCACGATCTTCGCATGATCTAGCAAATTAAAAATTATCTTTCATTAACGATTTATCACACAAGACGTAACGCTTAAAGGTACTACTCAACATTTCCAATAAATTGCGCAAACTTATCCAAATAATTATATAAGGGTAACATAAGAATCACACATGTACTTATCAGAAAATTGTAATTTGTATATAATCAGGTAAGGTATTATAACAGAATTTCTTTTTATGTCTGGCATAAGTACAAATTTCAGAAAACATAAATAGGTAAACTTCACTCTTGAAATACAATTGAAATGATGATACCAGGAAAACTTACTTTGCCTGCAACTTTCAAATGCTTTTGCTACCATTTCAGAAAGACGTGTGGACTATATCACTGCAGGAGAAGATGAGGTGTTAAATAGTGCCTTCAAAGAGTAATACATAGCAATATACATTAACCTTGATTATGAGTAATATACCGAAGTCTATTCATTCACACATATCTTCTTGTAAAATGAAATTGCACCAACTGATCATATTAACATTCACAATTTTCCCATTTGATAAGACTCTATTACCTTCTACATTTAAAAAACATAAAAAAATAATACAACATGCAAATTATAAAATAAACCCAAAGAAGTCAAAATGAGGAGAAAATGAAACTTTCCTTGGTTGGTTAGATTGGGGTTCGCTGTAGAGCAAGCCTTAGTTTAGGAAACGTCTAGAATTATCATAGCTTCTTGGGATAAGGGCAACTACATTTAGTAAATGTAGCTTAATGTCTTGCCAAAGGATATTAGTGCCAGGGTGGGACTTGAACAGCGGACCTTGTATCTGGTGACATATCCACTCAACCACGACACCTCTACTTATGAATTTATGTGACTAAAAGGTCTCATCTCATATGTGTACAGTCTGAAACTTTCTCTGACTTTAAAAAATGATCGGAGAAGAAATGTGACCATGTCTCAATTTATGGTCTACACACAGGTCGAAAATGTCCATGTCATACAACTCCCAAATTCTCATTCTGTTCATAATTATATGCGCACAGTAGCAGTGGTATCTTGATAGAGCTGCTTTTGAATGTAAAAATGGAATGAAATAATAATTTCAAAAATCATTGAGTCAACATTGGGCAACAGGAAAATAACAGGACAAAAGTCATGATTCAAATATAAAACAAGGGAATTACAGCAACTTTACAAAATCTTGGCAACACATATTGTCAGCTGTATAATGGAATAAAATCAATAATGGAATAAAAATTTGAAAAGCAAAATAAGAAAGGCAACAACAACAAAAAAAAGAAAGAGAGAGCTTTTCATGGTAATCATGATTTGAAGTACCGGTAATGACAGAAAAAAAATCCCACAGATTGAAAAAAACCTTACACTGAATTTCAAAGACGACAAATAAATGCTACCGGCCACATAAAATGGTATAATGTAGAAATATGTACATGTATAGATTTGTAAACTGCATCATGGGCAAGGCGAGGATGCAGTGATGGGAGAATCAAGCAACAGTTATTTTCCCCAACTATGTATTGTGCAAAACAACATGTGGTTTTAGTGAATAAATGTTCCAGAGGTTTCCATTATTTAGTTTCAGTTTTGCTCCTCCAAACAGCCGATCTACTCCATGAACAATGCAGGAATAATTGTTAAAGTTTATTTTATATCATGACTTACGGAGGACAAGCCATGCATTCTCAAATGAAAATAAAAATGCAGCTCTTTTTCAGAATTCAAGATTACATGTAGCTTCGACAACATACAGTATTAGGTTGAGATATCCCTTTAATATAAAAATAGGGCAAGTTCAAGTAATTTTTTTCCTAAAAAATATTGATTACATCAAAGATTGTGCATAATATTTGACAGGAATCCATATTCAATGACAGATACAATATCCATAGGCAAGCACACCTGCCGTTATTGGGTAGATTATTAAGAGGACTGTCTTTGCTTTTGGAAAATGAAAAATAGGGTGTATAAACAAGTATCGATCAGAGCAACCAACAGAGCAATTGGAGAAGTGTTCCACAAGTTAGCAGCTAAGTAAAGAAGGAGAAACACCTGTGCAGTGTTATATGTCTGTACATGGACCCTAAGAAAACATTATAGTTCATCTTGAGTTCAAAGGCATGGAATTGAATTTCAAGAGAAAGAGGCGATTCTAAATTTCACTTGGACTTGACTTATGTAATTTGAGATCGAGGCATGGGGTGTGGAATTGAATTTGGCGGGAATCAACATTACATTCAGAGGTTAGGGTAAGACAAGATTTCTTCCGGCTTCCATAGAGAATGTACAGCACTGTCACTTAATTCCTCAGTTTACTAAAACTATTGTTCAGATTTCATGAACTTGATGATTTGATGAGATCTATGTAGGCACCACCAAAAACCTTGTCTCATCGTCTTTCCCAGTATCATATCTGCATGTGGGCTGATCAGAAAGGTCGCCCTCTATTGGCTAACATTGTATAGGCGGTAGGGTCAATTATATCATATGTTTGAAGTCTTCAACATTCAGTGAAAGGTTATATTCGATTCTGTGAGAATTTAGTTTCCAGAATTCCAGATTTCAAGGTAAACCTTAAATTCAAACCACCTCCCTCATATTTAAGTACCATGGCTTTTAACTCTAAAATTCATATTACCAGTATGACTATAACAGCACATATGGGCAAAGCAAACTGTGAAAGCATGAATAAGGTAATATTAAACAGGCTACAACAACCATGGCCTCCCGAATGGGACACTTGATATTATACGACACTTGCCTGTGCTTTTGACAAGATGTGCTCTTGCAGTTGGGTCAAGAACGAGGCCAAGGGATATCAGGCTACTAACAGTTAACAATGGCATAGCACTGGGTGTCATCAGACTACATTTGTTTAGTGTAAGCGATAATACAGGACTGGGTCTTAACAGGATATTTGCCATTACCGAAAGTGTAGCACTGGTGTGATTTAGCCTTTTGGTGTTACTTTTGGTGTGTAAAAGGGTGTTATCTTGCCATTAAACATTACCTATGGTGCAACAATCAGTGTTGTCTCGCTATTTAGTGTTAACAAGGGTGTGGACTCGGGTGTTATCAGGATATGTGTGTTACCCAGATGTATGGTGTTACACCAGGTGTTATCTTGCTACACAGTGTTACCTATGGTGTAACACCAGGGTGTTAGTTGATTGCACTGTATGGAGGAGGGCTATCGGTGTAGATCTTGAGTGCTCTCTCCTTCCGAGGGGAGTAGGTCACCTTCTGACCTGTCTTGGATAACCTGGAGAGAGAGAGAGGAATAATAATAGAAAGAGTGGCGAGATAATGGGATATAAAGAGAGAATGGCAGAAAGACAGACAGAGAGAGAGAGACAGATATGGAGGGAGGGAGGGAGGGAGGGAAAGAGAGAGAGAGAGAGAGAGAAGTGAGAGAGAGAAGAGAGAGAGAGGGAGAGAGAGAGAGAGATAAGGGGGAATAAAAGACAATAGAAATGATGATTAAATACCATATTTATACTCATCGATATAATCGTCGATATAATCATCATCATCATCTTCATCAACAGCAGCAGCAGCAGCAGCAGCATCATCATCATCATCATCACCACCACCACCACCACCACTATCATCATCATCCCCACCATCATCATCATCATCATCATCATCACCATCATCATCATCATCATCATCACCACCACCACCACTATCATCATCATCCCCACCATCATCATCACCACCACCACCACCATCACCATCATCATCATCATCATCATCATCATCATCATCATCATCATCATCATCATCATCATCATCATCATCATCATCATCATCATCTTCATCAACAGCAGCATCTTCAGTATCATCATGGTCATTATCATCACTACAATCAACATCATGATGATCAAAATCAACATCACTATTATCATAACCATGATCATAATCAGCACTATTAAAACTGCCATTGCCATCTGGAACATTGTCATTGTCTACATCATCACTTCATCTTCAATTCTCGAGTAGCAATATATCCTTATTTTTAGAATTTTTGTATTTAGAATTTCTCAATTTGAACTTCATTTTCAGAAAGAGCATCAATTTCCTATAGGAGATCAGTGTTATTTTGCTCTATTTATTCAGATGGTCATATCTCAGCCAATACTTAACATATTCAATGGTTTTCGACATTTGGACATTATTTCTTATGCTCTTTCCGAAAATGAAGTTCAAATTGAGAAATTCTAAAAATAGATTTGTATGATGTCACAGCTTCGGTACTCTATGACAACAGTCATCAAACACCACCAACATTTACACTACCACCACCATTAAGATTGCCACCGAAACAACCTCAAGAAAAAATTGGCCTATCTGCTACATACCTTGCATTTTCCTTCTTCTGTATCTCCTTCTTCTCATCTTCTTGTAACTCCTTCAGCTCCTCCCTATTATCTCTGTTTAAAAAAACAAAAGATTTAAAAAAATGGATGCACACATGAATTTTGTTTTGAGTGGAATGACTTTTAAAGGCAACCGGTGGGGCAGGGATGGAGTAAATGAATAATATAGCACCTATCCAAAAGAGAGAGAGAGAAATAGAGAGAGAGAGAGAAAGAGGAGAGAAAGAGAGAATGATAGCCAGTCAACAAAATGTCCTCTCCAGACACATCCATGCTAACGTTGTGATGAGAGAAGCGCATTGCGTGTGGAAAGACTTATCCATTTTGTTTATAAAGTTTAGCTTTAAATGTTCACAGGGATGGGCTATTAACAGTTGAAGAAGGAAGGTTGTTCCAGTCCCTAACAGTATTTACAAAGAAGGAGTCCTGGAATACCCTAGCCCTATGCCTGATCTGGAGAAAATTCTGGCCATTCCCTTTAGTAGCTCTCGGGTTACGTTGAATAAATTCATCCAAATGGATATTAACTAAGCCATTCTTCATCTTATATAACATGGAAAGTCTTTGATTCCTAGTCATAGTCATAGATAAAAAAGGCATTCATAGACATCACCGACAGAAAATAGAGAGGAACAGGAATGTAAAAACAGAGACAATCACTATCTATCTACATTAAGTTATCTATCGTTCTATCCATCTAAATAAATAGAAGAACAAATAGATAGAGAAAAGAATATATCAATGAGTAAATACATAGATACTCCACCCAGGTGAAGTAATTGGGGAGCTGGTAGGTATTTATTCCTTGAAACGCAGAGTGCGTGACAGCTGCTCTGCTAAAGCCAGGGTAGTTATGTTGCATTATTGTAGAGCGCTTAGAGACTTCTGATAAAGTGTGAGGCGCTAACTCCACCCAGGTGAAGTAAATGGGGACCTGGTAGGTATTTATTCCTTGAAACGCAGAACGCGTGACAGCTGCTCTACTAAAGCCAGGGGAGTTATGCCGCATTATTGTAGAGCGCTTAGAGACTTCTGATAAAGTGTGAGGCGGTATATAAGCACATATAGTAATATGTACAGCACCATGAGCGTCAGAGCCTGGCGGATCCCGGCACTATATAAATATCCATATTATTATCAATAATAAAGGAAAACCCTTCTCACCTGTAGTAGATAACCGTCCCATCATCGGTGATGTAGAGAGGCCAGGTATTGAGTGCAGTGACCCTGGGTTCCCATTCCAAGTCAGTGTTCATCTCAAGGAGTGAGATCTCACAGGGGAACGTGCCCCGCCCCTTGGCAAACTCAATGTTCTCCAGAGGGATCTCGCTCAGCTCCGACAACTGGGGGAAGAAAATGAAATAGGAATTTAGTCAAGAGGAAGAAAACAAATTTTGATCGTTGTAGTCAGACACAGAGCTGAGGAGTCCTTAAAAATACACTTTTGTTAAGACTGAATATAGATGAAGTGAACGAGAGAGAAAGATGGTCGACTATAACCTCAAGTATAGAAAGATTGTATAGGTCATTTGAAAGTTCTACAGCAGCATCATGCAAATATTTTTGAGCTCATCACATAAATTATTTTCATAATTTAAATTTCAAATAAATACATCTACGTATTTGCGCATTTTATCATGAAATACTTTTTTTCTATCTTACGGCTGCCTTGAAATCCGAGACATTGGTATCGTCCAGAATCTCTTCTCAAAGTGATCCAACTTCATCTCTTAAAGGCGCACTCTCCTCATTTAAAATGAGTTTGTATTAAAGCAGGTTTTGTTTGTCTTCTAATGTCTTCTAACACCAAACAAACAATTTTTTAAAAATTTCATTCATCTTAACGCTGTCTTGAGATCCGAGACGTTGGTATCGTCAAGAATCACCTCTTCAAAGTGATCCAACTTCATCTCTTAAAGGCGCACTCTCCTCATTTAAAATGAGTTTGTATTAAAGCAGGTTTTGTTTGTCTTCTAATGTCTTCTAACACCAAACAAACAATTTTTTAAAAATTTCATTCATCTTAACGCTGTCTTGAGATCCGAGACGTTGGTATCGTCAAGAATCACCTCTTCAAAGTGATCCAACTTCATCTCTTAAAGGCGCACTCTCCTCATTTAAAATGAGTTTGTATTAAAGCAGGTTTTGTTTGTCTTCTAATGTCTTCTAACACCAAACAAACAATTTTTTAAAAATTTCATTCATCTTAACGCTGTCTTGAGATCCGAGACGTTGGTATCGTCCAGAATCACCTCTTCAAAGTGATCCAACTTCATCTCTTAAAGGCGCACTCTCCTCATTTAAAATGAGTTTGTATTAAAGCAGGTTTTGTTTGTCTTCTAATGTCTTCTAACACCAAACAAACAATTTTTTAAAAATTTCATTCATCTTAACGCTGTCTTGAGATCCGAGACGTTGGTATCGTCCAGAATCACCTCTTCAAAGTGATCCAACTTCATCTCTTAAAGGCGCACTCTCCTCATTTAAAATGAGTTTGTATTAAAGCAGGTTTTGTTTGTCTTCTAATGTCTTCTAACACCAAACAAACAATTTTTTAAAAATTTCATTCATCTTAACGCTGTCTTGAGATCCGAGACGTTGGTATCGTCCAGAATCACCTTTTCAAAGTGATCCAACTTCATCTCTTAAAGGCGCACTCTCCTCATTTAAAATGAGTTTGTATTAAAGCAGGTTTTGTTTGTCTTCTAATGTCTTCTAACACCAAACAAACAATTTTTTAAAAATTTCATTCATCTTAACGCTGTCTTGAGATCCGAGACGTTGGTATCGTCCAGAATCACCTCTTCAAAGTGATCCAACTTCATCTCTTAAAGGCGCACTCTCCTCATTTAAAATGAGTTTGTATTAAAGCAGGTTTTGTTTGTCTTCTAATGTCTTCTAACACCAAACAAACAATTTTTTTAAAATTTCATTCATCTTAACGCTGTCTTGAGATCCGAGACGTTGGTATCGTCCAGAATCACCTCTTCAAAGTGATCCAACTTCATCTCTTAAAGGCGCACTCTCCTCATTTAAAATGAGTTTGTATTAAAGCAGGTTTTGTTTGTCTTCTAATGTCTTCTAACACCAAACAAACAATTTTTTAAAAATTTCATTCATCTTAACGCTGTCTTGAGATCCGAGACGTTGGTATCGTCCAGAATCACCTCTTCAAAGTGATCCAACTTCATCTCTTAAAGGCGCACTCTCCTCATTTAAAATGAGTTTGTATTAAAGCAGGTTTTGTTTGTCTTCTAATGTCTTCTAACACCAAACAAACAATTTTTTTAAAATTTCATTCATCTTAACGCTGTCTTGAGATCCGAGACGTTGGTATCGTCCAGAATCACCTCTTCAAAGTGATCCAACTTCATCTCATAAAGGTGCAATCACCTCACTTAAATGCCTCATTTTAAATGTCTTTGTTAGAGGGTACTCAATGTCTTTTAATGTCTTCTGAAAATATACAATTTCTTTTATAACTTTCTTCATCTTACCGCTGTCTTGAGATCAGAGACGTTGGTATCGTCCAGAATGACCTCCTCGAAGGGGTCAAGCTTCATCTGCGAAGGGCGCCATCGCCTGACGTACAATGCAAGCTGGGATGACGATGCGACTAGCTCCGGTCCTAAAACAACAAAGAGTTTGAGACAAATGTTCCAATTATCTCATCAACTGAGTAAACAGTGCTATATTTCATAAAACTGTTTTTTAAATCAATAATAAGTCATATAAGCTACTGAAACTGGTTGGCTATGAGTGAATTTGTATGAGAATGTTAGCTTTTGTATTGTCCATAAGACACTTTATGAAACAGGGCACACATCTTTATTTTTTTTTAACATAATTAAAAATAGTTGAGTTTGTATCGCAGTATACATACGTACAAGAAAAAAGCCAACCTCATAGTTGTGATAATAATCAAGCGAGTAATGTTCTGGGAAAAGGTCTATCTCTATTGCTGGGGAGATTTTGTCAATATTAGCTGCAATTCATGAATAAAACTTGTATGATTTTCTTTAAAATTTCAAATGATGAATACAGGTGTACTTTTTAACTTTCCAAAACACAAGAAGAGGGAATCTAGGTTTCACAACTGTGGTTTAAAGGTCAAAATATAGGAAATATTCCTCAAAAATAGGAATGGTTGAGCAGGTATCGGAAGTGCCTTGTTTTCAAGAATGAAGAATAATTATCTTACTGTCTAGGAGCTCCACAAAGACTTCCCAGTTTGTGAAGATGGGGATATCTTCTTCATAGATGCGATCATTGAGGAAGATGGTGGCCGGGTTCTTCCACGACTTCTTGCGCAGACGTAACCTGTACAGGTAGAAAATGATGAAATAATCAATAGCTATGGAATTCAAATTCAGTGCAACTAATATCTTTCTTTTCAATGAAATTGACATTACTTCATAAGATCACTGTCTAACAAAGAGGTCATCAGGTCAACAATAATTACAGTGATAAGTAAAGCCGTTTCACCAAAGAAACTGGAATTGTGTACTACCACTTCTTGATTTTAAGTAGTTTTACTTTTCCTAGAGTAGAGTCCAAAACCGTGTAAAATCCCTAGTTTTAAAGTTGGTGGGTGAACCAAAACGTAAATAACATACTGACTAAACAAAAAAGTAGTAAATATTATGTATGTTTCAACAGAGCTATTGACCAGGGAATATCTTTTGCTGTAAATGACAAGCAGTCAATAGTAACATTTAGAGCCCTTGGTTTGACCAATCAGAGGCCTGGAATGTTGATAGGAGATACATAGTAATAACTATAAACTGACCTGTCTAGAGGGATGTCTATACTGCACTTCTTCTTGAGTTCTGGAAGAAGCTCCTTCTTGGACTGCAACACAGTCATACCTTTGGCAAACACCCAATCAAACAGATATCTGATAGGCTGTGAAGAAAACAAACAAACAATGCATGTTGCAGGGTGGTAAAAAAAGTTGAAATGTCTCATAAATTAAGTTTTGCCTCCAGTCAATCATTACAATATTTGCTCAAATTTAGTTTAGCTTAAAAGGCATAGCCAACTATGTTTTAGAAGTACTCTAGCTTCATGGTAAATCAATATCTAATATAGACCCAAAGTTTATTTAATGTAAATGTGATGTCCATATAATGCTGGTAGAAAAAAAAATGTATGTTAAATATAAAGACCAGCTATGGTCATGCCATTGCATTGTGGAAGAAACGTTGTGGAATCGATCAGAAAAGGTTGATCATCTAGCTTATAAGTATTGGTGTGTACTGCAAGGTTCTGGAATCACCAAATAGATAAGAAATTTGGCCCAGTCTTGGTAAAGTTACAAGCACTGTACAAAAGAAAGATGTATATGGGATTACATGACACATGCGCCAAATATATATAATAATATACCAAATATATCAATTACATGAAGTAGACGGTTTCCCGGCAAAATTTGTATCATCACGTATTAGTCAAAACATATTCTTTCACATGATTGGTAATAAGAGATTACATTTCATTTTGTGAGAGGGGGGCTTTTCCAAAACTGGTCTTTACCTTTTAGCCAAGATTTTGAAGAGAAACAACTGATAAAGGAATGATTCTGGCAGGGCACTACTATATATATATTCATTGCATAAAAATCTGCAACCGATGATTTTATCTTCTACATGACAAACGTCAAAAGAACATTATCATATTTTGAGCCCCAACCTCATGGAATGACCCAAATACAACCAGATACAGTTACAGGTCAAAACTAAACATACCTCATTTGAGTTGACTAGTAGTTGGTGAATATTCACTCGGTACTCTCCCTTCCTGAGAGCTCTGCCTAGTTTGATGACTATCCGACTGTCATCACTGTACGATTGCAGCGTCTCGTTCAAGCGGATACTCTCAAACTCTTGATTGTTAGCGTAGACTCTATACACCTGTAAGTGATTCAAAAAAGCACATCCTCATTTTATAATCATCTGTGTTTCAGTGTTAAATCTTTAATTAAATAGAATGAAATCTGAAGTTTATTCCTCTTCAAGTGGCACATGCATATAAATACATTAATTTTCAACTTTTGAATGATTTGAGGTCGACCATCTTGAATACAACCACCGACTATAAACATCACATTTCAATGTCAACAGTGAAAAATGCTGACTGCTAATTTTTCTGGTGACTTTCCAACTAGGGTCCTCCGTGATCTCACTACTGTGCTATGCACTTTGACTTAATTTCTGGCGATAATTTTAACCTCCCCACTCGAAGCAATCGATGTGCAGTCTAACCTGTCTAATAAGGCCACCAGAGGGAAACACAATAAGTGGCCACTGTAGACAGGTGGCCTTTCTAGAGAGGTTATTCAACACACATTTCCTTCTGGAGGGAGTCATTATGGGCGACCACTATGGAGAGGTGGCCACTAACACAGGTTTGAGTGTATATGTGTAATGCAGTCAAACCTGCTTTAGTGACCACCTGTCTACAAAGACCACATTTTTTGTTTTCCTTGAAAAGGGTTTCTCATTGAAACATGTACTATAGGCACCTGTATATAAAGACCACCTTCCTATAAAGACCACTTTAGTTGTCTCCCTTGGGTGGTCTTTATAGACAGGTTTCACTGTAGTACATTATATAGAACCAGTTTCTAGAGCAATATCCTACCATGAGCAAAAAATGTGTTTATAAAAGGTGCTATCATTGAGGCTTCATGAAACACTAAAGATTTCAATTCTTCAACATACCTTGAAATTGAGCGATGTCGTTCCTACGTGGGTTTCAACGCAAGATTTGAAGAATCCTAACGACATCCGTCTGTCAAGATTTACCAACAGCACTGGAAGAAACAAAGCAAGACATCACAATCAAAACGTTCTTTATATGCAAATATTTACATGTGCAGATATTTTGGCCAATGGTGAGACAAACTGACATTTTCATGAGATATTGATTTAGCTATCATCGACCGAGGTTGTTTTTACGATGTGCAACCCCAACTTCATGAAAAACAAAACCCTTGCAAAATAACGGCTTATATGATACATACTGAAAACTTATCAAGGCATTTGTGATCAAAGCATGCTACACTAGCTACACTGACTGTACATTAAAGGATCACCAATTATCTTAAAGGTAAAGACCAGTTATGGTCATGCGATTGCATTGTGAAAGAAACGTTGTGGAATCGATCAGAAAAGGTTGATCATCTAGCATCTGCAAGGTTCTGGAATCATCAAAATGATAAGAAATTTGGCCCATTCTTCGTAAAGTTACAAGCACTATACACAGAAAGATGTATATGGGACTACCCTATATCTCTCACAGACCATGAGAGAAACAAATTTACCAAATATATGAATTAGTAGGCGGTTTCCCGGCAAATTTTTTATCATCATGTATTAGTCAAAACATATTCTTTCACATGATTGGTAATGAGAGCTTCCATTTCATTTTTTGAAATTGGGGCGTTTCCAATACTGGTCTTTACCTTTAAGAGACACTGGAAATACAAGCAAGGTCTGTTTCAAACTATTTTCATTATCTCCATACCTGCTAAACTTTCACAGCAAAAATTAGGAATCTCTCAAGGCAAAATTAGGAATACAGTCTATTTTGTATGCTTTTCACACAAAATATTTCAGAAAAACAGAGGAATCTAGGGTTCAAAACAATAGCTTGAAAGCCAAAATAGGAATGGTTGCCAGCTATGTATCTTTTGAGAATTTTGAGAGTGAAAAAAAAAGAACAGTTACATGCAAGTTTGATTATTTTGGACAAAAAAAACAGCACCCCTCACCTACATGTATTTGAAAAAAAACAGGAAATGAAATGATTTTACAGCAACTCATACCTCTGCCTTCCTCCGTGTCCGACAGCTCTAAGGGCTTGAAGTACCAAATCTTCTTCTTCTTCAGTGCTCTTGCTGCGTCACTGACTTCCTGATCAGAGTCTACACTGGGTTCCACATACCCTAGAGGAGGTTCGCTTGGACCACTCTGCTCCACCCCGTCTCCGCCTCTGTCACACGCCTGGTCCACCGCATCCCTCCGCCTATGAATAGCATCCATGATCTGAGGGTTGAGGGGTCCGGGGAGGGGGCTCATGGCACGGGGGCGAAGGATCCCTGCGTCCGGAACCTGCAGCTTTCCGCATTCCGTGCACGACGCTGCAGACTGCGATTGCGACGCCACCGGCAACGTCAAGTGACTCTTGGCGATTTGTCTCTGACTAGATAACGATGGCACACGAGTGGTGGCACTCTCCCCTTTGTCTCTATGACTTGCATCCTTCTGCGGATGCGAGGACGGTGTCGCGTCACTCGTGATCGGTTGTGCTGCATTTAACGCATCAGTTAATTCCTGGGCATTCAAAGGGTCCACGATGCTTTGTTTCTCTTGAGGACCGTCGCACCCCCCATCGGGTTCACCGCGGAGTTCATCTCCAACTACATTCTCATCCTCTCCTGCTTGCTCGTCCGTTAGCCTGGCTTCATTCAGGGACACAACACCACTGTCTGTTTCACTCCCGACCAAATTCACACCGTTCTTCTCCAGCGGCTGATCATCGCTCAGTGTTGAGGAGCTTCCCGTGGGGCTGGGTGTAGGGATTTTGTTGGGAGAGAGGCCTCCAGTCTCGACTTGGAGGTCAGAGAATTTCTCAGCTACCGAGTCATTTGAAGAACTGGTCTCTGACACTTCCTCTTTGGCACTGTCCTCCTCTTCTGAATCAAACAAGCAAATAAGTCATTAAGGATCTGGTTTTACTCATGAAAATTGGTGAAAAAAAAACATTTGAAATATGAAGTTATCATTACCATTTTGATTATATAGTTTAGTGCGAAAATTCACTGTACTTGTAGACAATTCCAATAATACATTCTCATTATCAACGTCATCATCATAATCTAATAATCATCCACATCGTAACCTTCACCATCACCACTATTATCTTCTTGTTCAACAACATCATCTTCCGCCTCCTCCTCCTCATCACCATCATTACCACCAACATCATTATCATTATCAACATAATTGTCACGATGATAGCCATTATCATCCATATCTCATCATCATCATTATCATCAACATCGTCATCACCATAGCAACCATCAACATCTCTCATCATCACAATCATCATCAACATAATCATCACCATCATCATCATAACCATAAACCATCATCATCATCATCATCATAGTCATCATCATCATCACCAACATAATCATCATAACCATCATCATCATCATCATTATCACAACCATCATTGTTATCAACATCATTGCCACCGCCGCCGTCATTGTCGTCGTCATCATCGTCATCATCATCGTCATTGTTGTCATCATCATCATCATCATCATCATAGTTATCAACATCACCATTACCACCACCATCATCATCACCACCACCACCACCACTATCATCATCACCATCATCATCACCACCACCACCACCACTATCATCATCACCATCATCATCACCACCACCACCACCACCACCACCATCACCACCACCACCACTACCACCACCATCATCATCATCATCTCAATCATCACCATCACCGTCACCATAATAGTTTTGTCTTTACCTCCTGAGAGAGGCGGGAGTGATACAAGGAGACGGATCGTGTTAGCATATCTGTCCAGCAGTGTGTAGAGCTGGGAATGGGGAAAGTCAGTATCCATGTCTTCCAGTCCACTTGCTTCAACAAACACCTGTTAGGAAAAAGTTATCAATAATAATGATAATAATAATAATAATTGTAATATTTCTTGTTTACTCAGGGTAGCCTAATCTCCCTGAGGGCCCTGCAATCATATTATTACCCCTGCTTTAGCCAAGCTACCATAAAAAGATGCTCAAGAATTCAAGGATTTTCTTCTTAAGTCTCAGAAGCCTTCAGAGCCTTTGACTGGGCAACTAGATACTCTACAATATCCTGGATTGGATTTAGTAATCTCATTTAATCTACCAGAAGTACATGCATTGACATTAAACTGAAGGCTACCACCATGTTTTTTATACAATCTTGCTGCTTGCTGCACCCCTGTTTGCTTATTCAGAGGGGGCACATTGAGTGTGAATGAATCCGATGACCGGGGTAGTAATATCCGTAAAGCGCTTAGAGCCTGTATTTCGTATTTGTTGTTGTTGTTGTTTCTATTTCCGTATAATAAAATCAAATACAAATACATACAAAGTAATCATACAGAGAAAAGGGACCGTATACGGCTGGTAGCCCATTTTCAGCTGCAACTATATTGTATTAAGTAATATAAAACCAGAGAGGTGTTTCACAAAGCCTTTTTTTCAATAACAAGTGACAAAAATCAGTGACAAATTTGCTGATAACCAATCAGAAGCAAGGATTTCAGTAGCTTATAACAAAAACTGTCATTTGTCACAAGTTTTGTGGAACACCCCCCAGATCATTATTTCTTACCTTATTGCATTTACTGAACCCTTCTGTTTTCAGGTTCTTGCCGGGTACAGTGAGAAGACGAAGCTCGTTGTAATATTTCTCTAAAACAAGACGCATCTTGCTGGGTGGCAGACCAGTTAACTGTGGATGGAAGTAAAAAGTGAGAGATTGGAAAAGAGAGGCAGAGAAGAGAGAGAGAGAGAGAGAGAGAGAGAGAGAGAGAGAGAGAGAGAAGAGAAAGAGAGAGAGAGAGAGAGGGAGAGAGATTGGGTGAGAGGCATAGAGGACAAGCAAGTGAGATAGAGAAATAGAGAGGAAGACAGAGAGATACAAACAAAAAAAGAAAGAGATAGCAAAACAGAAAGAAAACATGTAAAGTGAATTATTTTCTAAAATAAACTTATTTTACGACTTCATAGAAAAACAAAAAGATAAAGAATAGAAAATATTAATAATACATTTTGGGGTGGAGCTGCATACCACAATGTCATTCTAATGTTACAACTGTTCTGTCCAATTATAGCACCCCAAAATACTTACATGTGTAATTACTTCAGTGTTGTATACATGGCTCTGTTCCACAGTACAACATTGGCTTGATCAAGCATTACATTCCCTCTAGACAGCTACGCTCTCAAACTCTCGCTTACTTGTTATTCCTAGGGTTAACACAAAGTGGGGGGAGCAAACCTTCGCTTATGCTGGGCCTTCATTATGGAATACTCTCCATCAACGGATTAAAATAGCAGTTCTGGTGAAGCGTTAAAAAATGATCTTAAGAAATATCTGTTTAATTTAGCCTGTAATTGATTACCATTACCTTTCAGGTCCGTACTTTACCTATTATACTTTTGTCTATTTATTATATATTTTATCTTTTGCAAAAGCTGCGCCTTGAGCATTTGATTGTCAAGTGGATTTGGCGCCTTACAAATCTTATGTATTATTATAATGAAAACAGGAAAAATGTCTTTCAAATACGTTTTAATCTGTATTTTGACTTAAATTTACCCTCTGAACCAGGAATACAACTTACCCCTTCGATCTGCTCTTTAAAGTCTGTGAGGGTTGTTTGATGATAAGCTCTGGTTGTGATAGGATTGTGTATCTCACCTTGCCTCAGGTCCACCACAAACAGTTTGATTGTCACACCTACACAAAGCAAACACAAGAATTTAATGACACTATAATATTGATGATAGGTCGATTGGTGATTGTTTTACCTGATTGTTCAAGGCCAAGTCCACTCCAAAAATAATTTGATTTTAATAGATGCAGAAAAACAAGAGAAATAGAGCTAAAAAAAATTGAGTAAAATCAGATAAATAATAAGGAAGCTATGACTTTTTTAATAAGTATGAAAAACTATGAAACTTAGAAAATCACTACACAAATTACCAAATTGGTTATCAGTTTGTGACGTCATTGCCTCACTATTTTTCGATTGCTTTATATATTTTTATCCCATTAATTTCCCTTTTTATCCCCAAAAACTTGATTTCCCCATGCCTTTGCCCAGGTTTTATGATTTGTATCATATTGCGTACATGACATTTCATAAAATCTTTTATGAACTTATAAGAATTGATACTAAAAAAAATTATACAAAAAAAAAATTCTCACCTCCTGGCTTGTAGCTCTGAAACTGTTGCTCCGCCGTCCTTGTCTCCATCAGAAGGTCAAACATATATGACCCCTTGACCCCTCCAAGGACTTGACCCATGGGCGTGTCCTCTTCATCCTCGTACGACCTCTCAAGCGACTCATGGAACTCGTCATACTTGACCAGTCGGCACTGCTCTAACGGTATGACTTCATCGTATCCAAGCAACTGCAAGAACAAGCACACATTTCATAAGGTACAATTGTAAGATACTATGTCCCTTTTGCAGCCAACATCAAATACACCAGTTTACAGTTGTGTGCGCCAAATGCGTAAATTAGGATTGCGCCCATGCAAATTTTGATAATATCACTGCCCTACGCGCTGCGTTGTGCGCGCGCATCATCATTTGCATGGGCGCAATCTTAATTTACGCATAAATACCAGAGGTCAGAGGTTATTGGCCCCGTTCCGGGGCCAATGACCCGAGGTCAACTGTCTGCGCATGCGCACTGATACAACTGTAAACTGGTGTATTCTGTAGAACTTTGCAGGAAATATGAACATTAGAAAGGTCCTAGTATTCATATTATGCAAGGAAACCTGTTTATCTTCTAGACTTCACTCTAAGACACTATTTTGAGTGACTGACTGACAACTTTTTTTCTTTGGTAATAATATTCATAAAATGAGCTGTAACATGTACATGAGCATTTGTGTAAATCAATAACCCACTACTTGTAATGGCCAAAATTAAACTGATTAAATCTTTGTGCAGCACAAACGACCATCCGGCAAAAGGGTCTGAAAATCAGACTATTACTTACGTGATTGCAATCACTTAAGTCGCTTCGACAACTAATGGTCCTCATTTTCCCACTAAAAGCCATTTTCAAGCCCTGTCGTTTTGAGGGAAGTTCTAAATTATTATTGTCGTTGGAATTTAACCAGTACATTTTTTTGGCCTGCAAATGGGACACAGTACCTTTAACTTTGAAAGACATTTCGTTAATTGGTCTAAATGGTTACGAGAGTCGAGACAGCAAGTTTCCTGTATCTATAAAGCCTATAGAGTACCGAAGTGTGACGTCAGACTGGCCAAGTTGTCTAGGTTGCTGGTTCCAAACAATTTTGTGCTAAACAACGGCGTGGTGATAAAACTTGCATTAAACAATGAATTTGCTCTAGCCCATTGCTTGAATGATATCGCAGTGAATCTCATGCGAAGGCTCCGTTGTTTGGAACCAGTAACCTGAACGACAAGCGGATATGACGTTAGCACTTTGGTACTCCATCGAATCACAATGACTAATGCTTACCTGATGACCCTGCTGTGTGGCCTCTGTTAATGTCCTGTCCTTGTGCACCTCTAGTCTTGTTTCAATCGTCTTTCCCGTCACTGGATGCACTCCAAACAGCTTGATCTGCAACAAATCAGCAGAGACATCATTAAAGGCATTGTTTAACAAACTTAAATCTGAGATGCATGGCCTTACGTGTTATCATCGAAGTGATATGGTGTAATATTGAAGCCCTAACAAAATTGCGCTTCAAAATCAGCATTTAGTGCCTCAAAAAATTTAAAATCTTTGAGTGACCAGTTTTACCATACTCATTTTCCCCAGTAGACTGTAGTGTTATAAAAACCGTTAGGAAAACAAATTTTTAAATCTTGATTTCCAATCATAAATATTTTGATAATCAGACAGGTGATCGGCTTGTAAAAGTCATGGGATTCCTGACTGACCTAAAGGTCTATAATTATCATTACAGCATGAGCTAAATCTAGGATTTTGTTTCAAAATCTGAGACAATGTTACCGAGTCACTTTAAAGGGATCGTTTAACAATATTAAATCTGAGATACACGGCCCTACGTGTTTTAAGCGTCTGTGATATGGTGTAATATTGAAGCTCTAAAAAAATTGCGCTTCGAAATGATCAAGAAGTGCCTCAAAAAAGTAAAAATCTTTGAGTGACCGGTTTTATCATACTCGTTTTCCCCAATAGACTGTAGTGTTATGAAAGCCGTTAGGCAACGGTTTTCAAAATTTGTAATTCCAATCATAAATATCTTGATAATCAGACAGGCGATCGGCTTGTAAAAGTCATGGAGTTTCTGACTGACCTAAAGGTTTATAATTATCATTGCAGCACGAGCTAAATCCAGGATTTTGTTTCAGAATCTAAGACAAAGATACCCAATCCCTTTAAAGGAACTTTGTATCTTTTGTTCACTTACCTTGCAGGTGTTCCTCTCTATCTCCCGTTGTCTCTTCTCTTCTTCCTCCTCCTGATAGAGACCCTTGGAGAGGTGGGAAATGTGACTCGGGAAATTGTCTGCGTTCATGAAACCTGTAGAGAAAGAAGAGAACAAGATAGTGATGATGATGATGATGATAATGATAATAATAACGAGTCAACGCAAAGCGTAGCATCTCCTTGCCGGGTACAAATGGCCTATATACATCAGAAAATCCATCAAAATCCACCCAAAATTACTTAAGTTAATCAAGCAACAACATTTTTGCATACATAATTACTGTAGCTATTTCTCATGTACATAATTAGCAATTTTTAATTAGCAATTTTTGCATATTCAATGAGCTGTGACCATTGACGTAATTATGCTGCATTATTGTAGAGCGCTTAGAGACTTCTGACAAAGTAAGTGTTAGGCGCTATATAAGCACTGTAATTATTATTATTATTATTATTACTCGATATTACTTACGTTTTTGAATGAAAACAGCATTTTCGCATATATAATTAGGTTTTTTTCACATATTTAATGAGCTTTGACCTTTGACCTACATCCTCTAAATTTGAACTTGAGCTGTATTTTGATACCATGTACCTTCATATCATAAAGATGTCGTTGACGTAGCTGTTCATGATGATCATGGCCCGACTGGAGATGCCGGTATTTGGATAAACCTGCTTGAGGGAACCTTAATTACAAGCATAATGCTTCAAAGGTGTCCTCCTCATTACTGCAGATTATTGTTAGCATCATTTGTATTTAATGACTTGCCATTAAATCGTTTTTATTACTGTTGTATCAACCGAAAATTATGTACATGTTTTGTTACCTTGTATATGCCTTACTTTGTAAATTCTTTTCATATGAAGTTAATGTGGAAATAAAACCTAAATAAAAAATGAAAAAATATATCAAATTTGATTAAAATCCGTCAAGCATTACTAAAGTTATCCAACAGAAACCAGATTTGTTACGAATGGACGGAAGGACGAACGGAAGGACGGGATGGACCGCTGCGCTACTACATCCCCTCCGACTTCGTTGGCGAGGCGATAATAATAAAAATGATGATCAGCTCCAATGCTGATCTTCCTGAGGGCCATGCAATTATTATTACCCCAGACATAGAAAATAATACAAGAAATCTCTACTACTCACTAGCATTGTGAAGTGGGTCGATCTGTCTGTACATCAACATGTATGCGTTAGTGGAGCTAGTGTAAGAGCTGGAGTAGTAGCCCCTGTAGTGGGTCGGCTCTCCCCCGTAGGTCTTGCGGATGTCATCATAAGTGATACGCGATACGTGCTGGTCATTGAAGCAGTACCACTGGCCATCAGTGAAGGACCTAAGAATAGAGAGAGAGAGAGAGAGAGAGAGAGAGAGAAACAGAGAGAGAGAAACAGAGACAGAGAGAGAAACAGAGAGAGAGAGAGAGAGAGAGAAACAGAGTGAGAGAGAGAGAGAGAGAGAATAATTGTTTAACACTGTTAGGATTGTCTGCAAATGAAGTGTATATCACTACTTCTTGAGCTTCAAAACATGAATTATTCATTTTATAAAACAGGTTTTAAATATCGATATAAGGAAGAGAAATAAGCATCAAACCTGATCAAAATACCAAGAATCGCACTGCCATGGGGGCCGCCATTTGCTTTGAATGACAACACAGTATAAGCGCAGCCCGACAGTGTAATAAAATTCTCAGTTGGTGCATCAATGTCCTCTGCCATTTGAAACTGTATGCATTTCATTGAGTCTTAATTTCATACCTGCCAGAAATACACATACTCACACCTTAGCCGTGTATTATCACTTTTAGCCATGGGTTATCACTTTTTGTTGAGAACTTTAGGCATGGCACAGTTTTTTTTGCAAGGTCATGCGGTGTCATTTGACCTATCAGATTGCCTATATTATAGAACCTGTTTTTATAAACATAAATGTTCATTCTCACTTAATATATGCATAGTAATGTCCGCCCGACGCCGTCCCAGAATGCACCATGATGGAGAAGAGCTCGTAGGTGTAGGGCCCCCTCGTCTGTCTCTCCTGATCATTCCTGTGATTGGTGATGGCTGTAGTCGAGGCCTGCTCCATCACGATCCCCTCGTCGAGGGCATCCTCCAGCGAGTTCTCCTGACTCTGACTGCTGGGGCTTCCATCCTCGTTCTCTGCTCCGCTGTCCGACTGCGTCTCACCTTCAACCTGCACCGATGAAACAAGATAAGAATAGATGCTGCTTGTAAGTATCGGCTTGCATGGTGATGTAGATATACAGTAGGCTTGCGGATGCACCATGTGAGAGAGAGGATTGAGGAGTCCTGAAAAGGACTGTCGGTAAGATAAGAATAATGATAATATTCTGGATTTGGATAGCCCTTAAGCCTATCTGCACTACTTTGGCGAGGGGGGATTAGACCTCCCTGCATCTCTCAATTAAGATAAGAAAAGGGGATCATGGGGCATGAACGGGCACCGATTAGGCTTTGTTGGCTATGTAGAGGGCGCAAGGCTCTACAAGTAGTGCAGTCCCACTTTAATCAAAATACCGTCTCTAAGCGCATTACAGATGTTATTACCCTTGTCATCAGATTCATTCCTGCACAATGAGCACCATCTTCACTCCCTGTGGAGTATTCCTACCATATGGTCACTGTGAGGGCATATGGCAATTACTAACACAAAGGCAGTTGTTATCCTATCAGGTCCCCATATCTTTTCTGGATATGGATAGGCAAATGGAGATTAATGCCTTGCCAAAGGACATTAGTGCTGTGTCAGGGGTCGACCCACGACCTTTAAATAGTGGAATGCTATCTATGGATGACCCCTACAGTCTGACTTACGTATGCTTGCACGGTCGTCTTTGTAGGCGGTTCCCCTTGCGAGTCAGCCTCGGATACGACAAATGCATTTAGGTCGAGAATCTCGGGGAACGTCATTCTAGAAGGCACCACAATCACACAAAGGTAAAGAATTACAAATTTAGTATCTATAGTGCACTCGATACACACAAAAATCAAGTCAACATGAAATTCATGTCTTAAGTTTTATTTCTTAAAATTAACTCATTCCAGAAGTACAATGACGTGTAAATGATGGAGTAAATATAGCTTACACTTGGTACTCAGTGGACTAAATCAACTAATAGTAATTATCATCATTATTTCTATCATCATCAATAGTGTCATTATAATGATTACAAATTTCATTTTATCATAAATTTTATCATAAACTTGTGCCTGAGCTTGATGCGTTGCATCATGTTATAATCAAATTTGAATTGTATGGGTTACAGCGTATCATCATAATCACTCTTATTATTATTACAGTGAAACTTGTATAAAAAGTCCAACCAAGGGAGGCAAGAAAAGTGGTCTTAATGTACAGGTTTTGTTTCACTACATATTTAAATGAGAAACAATATTCAAGGGAAACAGAAAATATGGTCTTTCTAAACAGATGGTCACTAAAGCAGGTTTCACTGTGTATCATCATCATCATCATGGTTATTATATTAATACATTAACATCAGAAACAATGAATGTAGACTCACTTGTCGTTGAGTTTGATGCGATGCATTGTGTTGTAGTCAAAGTCGAATCGTTTGAGTTGCAGAGTGAGGAGGTAGGGAAAGTGTTGGAACTTGAGGCCCTTATGAGCGTCGCATTTCATGTTGCATTTCTCACAGAAGTACTGGTTACTCTCATCCAAAGTCTCTGGCTCCACAAAGGCTCGCAAAGCCTCGTCCTAAAACAAACAAAAATTAGGGTTGATAAAAGAATTTAAAAAGTAGTACGAATCAACCACTTCATCATTGTAGATATCTTTCTTTTATTGAAATATGGGGGAGAATGATATCTGATTCCTGAATGTCTAGAAACACCAAAGCTTACATCCTTATCCTCTTTCCCTCCAAAATGGGTTTAAAGTTGTTTCTCTCCCATCATAATTTTGCCAATTTCTTTGTGTTTGGGAACATCAACATGTTTAACCAATCTTGTAACTTAGCTTCAACCAAACCAATACAATACAATAAAGAGATAACATGACCTGATTGAGTAGTGGTAGATTAAAGATATAGAACGGTAGTGGCAAAGTTGCGATTCAAGGGTTTTGGGTGCAAAATATCCATTCAATATTGTTTAAATATTGCCTTCAGAGGTTTAAATAGCAATACTTCAACCTAAATTTGCAAAAAAGCAGAAATATATGCCCAAATGTTCAATGTTGAAGTGCATTCGCGATATCTATCCAGGCCGGATCGATATGATAATTTACCAAATATATCAATTAGTAGGCGGTTTCACGGCAAAATTTGCATCATCACGTATTAGTCAAAACATATTCTTTTACTCGATTGGTAATAAGAGCTTCCATTTCATTTTTTGAGAGGGGGTGTTTCCAAAACTAGTCTAAACCTTTAAGCATTTTCAAACAACACATGTAGAAAATCAAAAAGCGCATTACTCACAACACTGCTGTAGACCTTGTTGGCACCGAATGGTCTGATCACCAATGGGATGTCCAGGAAAGCATCTGATCTTGCACTCTCATAGCCACACTGGAAAGAAAAAAAAGAGTTGTGGATTAAGACGGGATTAAGATTGCCATGTTAAAGTAAACCAGAAGCTTCTTATATATTTATATGTAAGAAAAAATCAGGTGTAAAGGTAAGGCTTTTTAAAAAGTTTCTCTGCAGCATATTCAACACAACTGTATTGATACAAGGTTTGAATATTTGTACTTTGATTTTATACCTTCAAGCACAGGACATAATGTTTCATCTGATCATAAAGTGGGTATTGGGTTACATATACCATTCATTTCTTTATGGAGATATTGCCCCTCTTTCACACTTGCCTTCAAGCATTAGAAATAGTCCTTCATCTGGCTAAGTGGATTGGTTAGTGTGCATAGTGTGAATAGGGTCATGTATCTAGTTCAATTTGATATGGGAGTATTAGCCCTCATTCACACTTACCTTTAAACACTTGACATAATCTTTGAGCTGACCCTGGTATAGTTGGTTTATAAGATTACTCTGATCCGTGTTCTTCCATTTCTTCTCCAGTGCATCAAACATGACCCTGCACAGTTCCTGTACATCATGCTGCTGCCAAGCTGTTTAAAAAACAATAGAGAGAAATAGAAAGAGAGAGAGAAAGAGAGGGAAAGAGAAATAGAGAGAGAGAGGGGGGAGGGAGAAAGAGAGAGAGGGAGAGAGAGAGATAACATATTAGTCATATGAGCAAGCTAACATTTTTGTCCTTTAACTTTCAAGGTGTTACTGAGCATGTTATCCCTTGTAATTTTGTGTCCTATTCAGTTTTTCTTCCATCTCCAGATTGTTTTTCTCAAGCTCCTTTGGCCTACAACCTCATTAAAGCTGAGAGCATGCACAAGCAACAAGACATATAGCGAGCTGTGACCACAGTATAAGCACACTCCAAGGGCGCCTTTGGTATTCACCGACACTGTCCCAACCACCAGTGCATACAGCCTGTCAACCTTTCAAAGCAAAATTTAGGATTACAGTCCATTTTGTATACTTTTTCATACAAAATATTTCAGAAAGAGAGAAGAATCTAGGATTCAAAACAGTAGCTGGAAGGCCAACAAATTTGAATTATTCCTCCAAAATAGGAATGGTTGGCAGCAATGTCAGTGCTGTATAATTGAAAGGCAAGGTATTATTACCATTAAGGTACTTTTCTTATGCAAATGCTCAGCAAAGAGGATTGAATTGTATTGTTTTACAAATCTTACCTTCACTGCTATCCCATCCAAAGCTCCGTGTGACATCCGTCGTCTCAATTGACCTCTTCTTACTGGTCTGCAGCTGAATGAAGAGACGTTGAAGATGATAGGGTATACTCTTAGATCTTTCCTCCTGTGTATCAGTATACTCCCATCTGACAGGGGGGGGGGGGGAAGGAAAATTATTTTGAATTCATTAGTTGTTGCTTTGTCAAGCTAACCTCTGACCAGTCTCTGAAATCATCTAAGACAACTTCTACACCTGTGTATCACTATACTCCCATCAGACACAGAAAAAAGAAAATAAAATCGTTTTGAATGTTTGAGTTGCTGCTGCGTCAGGCTAACCTCTGACAAGGCAGTGAAAGGACAACTTCTGACCGCAAACATTAAGATTTTAAATATAAATCATGAGCATGTATAAAGTCACTTGCATGACACACACTCAAATGATGGTTGCTCCGCGTTCAATTCACTACCCAAACTAAATTCTTCACTTTAGTCCTGGGCTGTTTCATAAAAACTTATTATCAATGACAAATGCTAAACTTCTATGACAAATTTGCTCTCATCCAATCAAATGCCATGATTTCAGTAGCTTATAACAGTTACTGTAACTTGTTATAGATAACAAGTTTGATGAAACAGGGCCCTTGAGTAAAAACTATATCTGACCCTACATTTTTGTAGAAATAAAGCCTGGGGGGTGTTTCACAAAAATCCTAAGTCAAATTTAACTTTAAGTTGGACTTAAAAATTATGGAGAGCCATTTGTAGCCTTAAAATTAAATATTTCCAAAAGCAGAAATCACAGTATTTTAGACTTTTCATAAATTCCACCTCAAGAACATGAAATCTCCCATCATAATAGAAAATATGAATCACTTGAATCAACATTTTATGCCTTTTAAAATAACTTTTACAAAGGTTTTCAAAGATGCTGATGGCTTTCCATAATTGTTAAGTCCAACTTAGAGATAAGTTCAACTTAGAATCTTTGTGGAACACCCCCAGGAGCACATTACAGCACCAGTAAATCTACTGGTAAATACTTTTTAATCTGGGCCCTGTCTTATGAAAAGTCGCGATTGATCGAAATAAATCGCAAGTCCTGCAATCAATCGCAAGTCCTCCAATCAATCGTCTGGTCTCCTATCTCTTATGTACATAATATTATGTCACTGGTGCAGTGGTCATAACCCGACCCCGACCCTGAATCGGCACTAATGTGTTTTGGAAAGGCATTGATCTACGTTTGCCACTCCATACCCAGAAGAGAGATAGGGACCTGGTAAGATGACAAAAGCCTTTGTTTTATTAATAGCCTTATGCCTGAATGGCGACCATAAAGTAGGAATACTCCCCAGGGAGTGGAGATGGTGCACATTGTGCGTGAATGAATCTGATGGCCAGGGTAATAATATCTGTCTGTAACGCGCTTAGAGACAGTATTTCATATTAAGTGCTTTATAAATCCAGATCATTATTATTATTATTACAGACATAGAACTTACTTGTAGACAGCATTTCTAAACTCTGGAGTCATGTAAAGTGTTTGCATCAAGCTGTTGAGATAACACGTCATTGCCTGGTTGACTAGACCAACAAAACCTACAGAGGAATAAAAGAAAGATTAGATGGATGGGAGTAGAATATTTAAATATTATTTACTTGCTTTGAGGGTGATACCAGAGCAATATAACTATATGTATCCCCTGAAAGATAAGGAAAGATCAGGGAAAATTACAGTAGGGCTACTATACCCTGCTCAACTTAGAAGGTTTCGGATGTTAAATGGGAAAAATCCATATCAGGCTCAATATTGACTGCAAATTTTGTACCCAAAGTAAATGGCAAAACCCAGAAGAGTGGAAATATCAGGGAACATTGCCCGCTTGGAGCTTCAACATGTAGTTTGTAGACTGTGCAATATGCATTTAGGTGCATGGCAAAATTACCTTAAATAGGTAATAATATTAAACATCTTATCACAACCACAAAGAAAATGATGATAACAATGTTTAGAAAAATGATAATAATAATAATAATGTAAGCTGATTGAGGTATAAAAAAAGATAATAAATCATCCATCGAAAGTGAGAAAGGCATCTGTGCTGTGGTACATGAAAGGAAGTAATGACCATTTTGTTCTGAGCATTTTAAACTTTCTATTAATTTTATTGTTTATACTGTTGGTTTCAGCTACATGTACCTGTTTATTCTTAAATTATCAATCTGATGAGAACAGGATGAAATGTTTCAATATGTCTTTATTTAAAGCTAATCTTCAATAGACTGGATTACTAACATAATACAATTGATGGATGTTTCTTTCCTGGGGACCTTGTGACGAGATAGTTCATTAACCTGTAATTAATGAATGAACTACAATACTTGGAATCCAGCCTGCGTACATGTGATGATATGCAGAGCAATTCTCATTTAGACATTAGTACCCCAGCGGGACTTGAACCGTGAACCATGCGATCCACAGCTCGGTGATGTATCCTCTAGATCACGACACCCATAGTACTATTATTAGAATAATGCACTTGTCATTTGTAAGACGCACCTCTTGACCCCCGGGAATGGTGCGTCATTGTACCGATGTGAGTCGTACATTTTGATACCATGACGCACCTTCCGTCACAGAAAGTGACACACCATTACATTCCATCGACGCACATTTGAGTCAAACATATGACACACCATTTCATGAAAATGACTAGCCAATGACGCACATTTGAGAAACACTTCTGCTTGGAGAAAGTGACGGTCCCATTGACACACCAAATGACGCAACGTGGTAAAGTGACTTACTATGACGCACATAAGGGTCAGTATTGTGACGGACATTTTGCGGCCATGACGGTACTGTGCGTCGCGATTTTGGGGAACATGACGCAACCATGACGCACCATTCCCGGGGGTCAAGAGGTGCGTCTTACAATTGACAAGTGCATAAAGTGATCACAAAAATAGTTCAGGGGGTGTTCCACAAAGATCCTAAGTCGAACTTAACTCTGTAGAGGTGTCATGGACGAGTGGATATGTCACCGGACTGTGGATCACAAGGTTCGCGGTTCAAGTCCCACCGCGGCACTAATGTCCTTTGGCAAGACATTGATCTACATTTGCCACTCTCCACCCAGGTGTTAAATGGGTACCCGGTAGGATGCGAAAGCTAATGTGGTTAGATTAGCATGTGTGCGCTTGTAAAAAAGACGCCTGGCTGGAATGCTCCCCAGGGAGTGGAGAATGTGCATACGTTGTGTGCGGGTAAGCCTGAATCCTATGACCGGGGTAATAATATTTATATCTGTAAAGCGCTTTGAGAGGGCCTTCGGTCCTGAAAAGCGCTATATAAGAACTAGCTATTATTTATTATTATTAAGTTGGACTTAAATATTATGGAGAGCCATTTGTAGCCTTAAAATAAAATATATTCAAATTTAAAAACTTCAAATATTTTAGACTTTTCATAAATTCCACATTAGCAACAAGAAACCTCCTTGATAATAGAAATTATAAATGATTTGAATTAACATTTTAAAATATCTTTTACAAAATATTTTCAAAGATGCTAACCACTTTCCATAAGTCTGAAGTTCAACTTAGGATCTTTGCGAAACACCCCCCAGAATATCTTACCTGTTTCTGATCTTCCAATGACAGCAGAGGAGTAAGGGACGTAGGAGGAGTAGTCGGATGATAGGGAGCTGGTATCAGATGTTGCAGTGATGATCGGGCTAGTGTCGTCCGTTGCTAGGTTCAAAGCATCTATTTCACTGGGAGATTTGGTTGTGCCGCTTGCCCCAGCCTAAAACATGAAAAATAAGACCAGGAACATTAACATAGTTCGGTTTTCAACAACAAAAATGAGAATAAACAGATTAAGACATAGGAGGCATAATTGAAGGAGAGGGAGCTGGTATCGGATGTCGCAGTGATGATGGGGCTGGTGTCATCGGTTGCTAGGTTCAAAGCATCTAGAGTGTACGACATGAATTACTACAGTGCCAGGAACTTTAACATAATGTTGCAGCGGCGCACGAAACGTTGTGATCGTTTCGATCCCTTGTTGACCATACACTGTACATGTACATGTACATTGCGAGACAAAAAAATATCACTAGCGATATTATTTCCGACACTATATCCGCAGTGAGTAATATATTTAGCAACTTTAACAAACAGTAGTTAGGTTTTCACCCCCCAAAAAGAAGAAGCTACGAGACCGAATGGGGATTGGACATATGATCATTGGATCAAATGGGAATAGTACATGTACTTTACCTGTATAGGGACTGGTTGTGCCCCATCCTTGTCTTGCAGGTTGAATAGATTCCTTCCTACAGTCAGCATGCCTAGCTCACCGAGTGACTTCTGACCCTTGTCATTCAAGAAAAGCTACAAGAGATATACAAGAAATAAAATATGACATTAATTTCTTGCACATGATATATCAAATCAACAAAATGACTGGCTTCTGAACCATTGCATGTATACGTGTATGTAAATGTAGATGTATCTGGGGCAGATCCCACATTATATTGTCAGAAAGTGTGGGGATTTTTCCTGTCAGTATTCCCCCCCCCCCCAACATGATTTCATGAATCCCATTACCCCTCTAAAGGCTTTCTCATTGGGGAGAGGAGAGGAGGGGGGGGGGGGTTAAGGAGCAAAAATATCAACACCCCCCCCCCCCCACCTCTACGGTAGCAATACTAGTAAACTACCATCCCCTCTCAATATCAGCAAGGAGTGGAGGCAGCTGGCGGTGTTTAGCCATCCCCCTCCCCCACCCCCCTCCCTCCACCCCTGAGATGACCACAATAAGACCTATTTCAATTTGAAAAATGTACATGTACATATCTTCAGTACATGTACATTGTACCTACAACTACAAGTACCTACAGATAGGTTCTTGGAATTAAAACCTACATGTTGTTGTTGTTGTTGGTGTTGTTTGGTTTACAAGGCTGTCCAAGCTGAAAATATTATTTCTGCCATGTATTATTCAATTATTGCATGGTCTTTTACATGTATGTTTACCACATACAATGTACATGTACTGTATAGAACACACATACAATAAATGCATGCGTTTATAATAATGAACAAATCCAAACAAATGAGAAGTGGATTTTTCTTCCTAATCCTCTATTATTTCACGCTTCCTGCTTTTCTAGCCTGGTTCTAACCAGCAAGTGCTATTACAGATTGAAAGATATGCAGATCTATTTACATGTACATGTACATTGTTCATGTACACAAAGGTTATGTGCATGGTACCATGATATTGTATACTGTGCTCACAATTAAGTAAAGGAACTACATGTACATGTATGTACATGTAGACATACATGTAAACGTAAAAAGCTTTGATCCAACATACGGAAAGAAAAATAACTTGTACACGTACTGTACATGACATCTGACAATCTCCTGAATTTTCGTAGAAATATAGATTTCAAGATGTCTCTGATTTCAGATGTATTTACTTGTACATGTACCACAGCATAGCATTCTTATTACTGTAAATCTCTGTGTATAAGGCGCACCTGTGTATAAGGCGCATCCCTATTTTTGAGATTAAAAAAAATCTTTTTTTTTCCTTTTGGGTTTGCTTTTTTGCCGACACCAACTGAATCGGCTCTTATTTCAGCGTGCGGTCCCGTTCGGAAACAAAAGCCATGATGCAGGAAATTGGGAAGGACTTTTTATTTATTACGACTTTACAGTCAAAAGGTCAAAGTAAAAAAGAATAGTAACAATGTTGTTTTTTAAAACTAAAGATGATAGAAAATTTGTCCTCCCGAGTCCAAACCGAAATTTAGACAGGCTAGTTTTCGAGTGGTGATTCGATATCCCCCGTGTGAGTGAGCTGCATGATACAGGTCAGTGAGCTGGAGACAAGGGAGAGCTTCGGCCGGCAAAGTGCTTTGTGAAGGGGCATAATTTATCGAGATTAAAAAAAAAAAAAAAAAAAAACTGTCTTCCCTTCAAATTAGGAACGTAGTTTAAAGTAAACAGTAGATCCTATTATTTATTTGCATTATGTAATTCATGTTGAGACACAGAGATTTTCAGAAACCACTAAAAAGTAGCATTTTGAGAACTCAAAATATCCTGTACCTGTGTATTAGGCACACCCCCGACTTTCAATTTTTCCCCGACGGAAAAAAAGTGCGCCTTATACACAGAGATTTACGGTATTTGTATTGGAAATCAACATAAATTGTTCTACACACATTGAATTATTTATTGTTCTTTAAATTCCTGGAATGACTTTTCTTTTCGAGGACAACAATAAGAGAATGCAAATTGTGACTACTGGTAAGCCAAAACATTTACTAAATGCAAAGAAGCAGTTTCTATCCTGTGTAAATAATTCTGTATACATTGCAACATGTGCATGTAATGTGCATTTAATGTACATGTACATACGATTACATGTACATACTGCATTAGTGTGTCAGCCTTATCCTTCATGTGATCATTTGGAATCATGTAGCAAAAGAAACACGGTGCTTGGAAGCTGCCAACTTTCATTTGAGAAAATATTGCTCAATTTCCTTCCAAGATATCATTACTGCAGGAAAGGAAGACTAGTATCAGCTCCCTTTTGGGCTTGAAAATCATAATATTCAAAACAAAGAAAAGACACCAACAACTCAAGTGCCACTGCTTCAACTTTCTGTATTAAAATAACAGCCCGGAAATTAGATCATGCTTTCAACAGTGTACTAAAAACAGGAAAAGTTTTATCCATTGCAAATATCTCAAAAAGTGATCACAACAAAAAAGTTGGCAATTGAATTGATGTTAGCATGTAGAAATGTATACACAGAAACAGGCCTACAAATGTAAGTATTACAGTGAATATTGTATACAAACATTCCTAAAAGATGAAGACCACCATAATATTAGGTTGGTTATAATAAAAGTGGAAAAATAAGAGAAACATGGAGGTCAGTGAAAGTTTGAGCAAAAACTGATTAAAAGTGAGGTCCCCTCCATTTTGCCCTGTACTAAAAAATAAAGTTAGCAAATTATAAAGCCCCTATTAAGTGTTGGGATCCCCAAATTTGTCAAAACAATTGATGGCAATTTTTCGCTAAATGTATCATAAAAAGTGAAAGAGGGTGTCATTTTGAAATACACATTTCCGCAAGGATTTTCAAAACAAACATGTTTTAAGACGAATATTGATGAAAGAATACAAAATTTGGGGTATCTGTTGTACGCAGAAAACCTAAACAGAGTGGCTTTGAGAATATTTCCCATCATACATAATTCACCCTAAATATAATTATTGCAAATATTTTTTATACAACCCCTGTATGAAACAAATCAATAACTAAGAACATAAAAGTTCACAAAATCTACTGTACAGAGCGAATTGGAGAGGAGCTCGCAAGATACGTCAAAGTGTTGCCAATTTGTGTTTGATTGATAGCAACTTCAAAAAGTCATAACATTAAAGATAAACTTTAGTACTGGTAATGCGATTGCATTGTGAAAGAAAAGGTGTGGAAAGGATCAGAAACAGTTGATCATGTAGCATGTAAGTATTGGTGTGCACTGCAAGGTTCTGGAGTCATCAAAATCATAATAAAATTGACCGAGTCTTGGTAAAGTAACAATCACTGTACACAGAAAGCTATATATGGGACAACACACATGGTGTCGGGGCTAGTACTACCTTGATTTCCTTGTCTTTCTATGCTCATTACTCAGCCAGTATACATTTTCTTCCAAAATTGTTTGGCACATGTCATTTATTTGTAATCTTGAACATTCAGTGTAAGTTTCGTTTGATTCTCTGAGAATTAATTTTCTTTTTTTTACCAAAACTGGAGTTTATCTTTAAAATGAAAGCTCCATCCTTACATTGTCATTGCCATCTTTTCCGGCCCTCAGCCAGTAGAGTTCAAAGGTATCCGGTTCGTAGTTAGCCTGGCGCGCCACCTCCTCGCACAGTTCTACCGTGGTCGTTGACGTCGGCAGGGTGACGGTGAACTTGCATGTCTGCCATTGAGGGTTGGTGATATCATAGATGATACACAGGATCTTGGGGAGGTCAGCCGTGCAAGTATCCTGAAGAGGGGAAAATAAAACAGGGAGGGGAAAAAAATTTAGTTTACGCATACAGGTCCAAGATAATAATAATAATAATATTCCGCATTTATATAGCAGTTTAATACATCGACGATGTCTTTGAGAGCTTTACAGAAACGTTATTACCCGGGTAATCTGATTCATACACGCACACAATGTACATGTATGCACATTCTCCGCTCCCTAGGGAGCATTCCAGCCAGGTGCCATTTTACAAAGCTGAGCAAACTACACTAATGTTCTTGACTTAATGAATCATCGGGTCTTGGCAGCGGGTCGGATGGTCACACTGCCCAACCTTTTGTGAAAACATGCCCCTTTATTCACGAAATGTTGGGGATAATGTTTGTGAAATAAACCCCTCTCATCTGCAAACGGTCGGGTTCAATTTACCCGACACTTTGTGAAAAAGTACTGCAAATCTACGGCTGTGTCCTCATCAACAAGTATCTTCACATGATCTTCTGTTTTCGTTTTCACGAAAAGTTGTGTAACAGGACCTGATGATTCAAAGTAAGCCCATTTTCAAACTGGTCATGACTTTGCATGACTGCTCTACATTGTACGCCATGAACTTTCGGTAGGACTGGCATTGACAATCCTTGTGTCAACATTTAGAGTGTACATGTACATGGCGAGGGAAGAAATTTCCAGCTATAAATACATGTGTATGACAGCGCTGATTTCCTTGAACTCAACAGAAGTACATGTATTTTCACAGCATGTCTTTACAGTTAACTTTAAAGGGATCCTTTAACAATGTTAAATCTGAGATACACGGCTCTAAGTGTTATCAGTGTCTGTGATATGGTGTAATATTGAAGCCCTAAAAAAATTGCGCTTCAAAATGATCAAGAAGTGCCTCAAAAAAGTAAAAAATCTTTGAGTGACCGGTTTTACCATACTCGTTTTCCCCAATAGACTGTAGTGTTATGAAAACCGTCAGGCAAACGGTTTTCAAAATTTGTAATTCCAATCATAAATATCTTGATAATCAGAAAGGCGATCGGCTTGTAAAAGTCATGGGGCTCCTGACTGACCTAAAGGTTTATAATTATCATTGCATCATGAGCTAAATCCAGAATTTTGTTTCAGAATCTGAGACAAAGTTACCGGATCCCTTTAACCCATTGCCTATGGAAACTGGCTGGTCCCTGTGTAATAGGAATAGGAAAATTCGGAAGTCAACAGGTTAATAAATGTTGCTGACTCTTTTATGATACTTGTTCAGTTCAATGGATTGAATGGTGTGTTACATGTAGACTGACCAAGAATAGACCAGTTCACGGTTAGCACATTACTGCAATGACACAGAATATCCACAGATCTTCAAAACATGAAGAGGTCCCACTTTGTACATTTTGAAATAATCAATCCAACAGCGATGGAGGTGCTACATACATGTAAATAGCCTTTGTTAGTTTGTTTCCCCTTTTCAAAGAATACTTCCACCTGTGTATCATGGAGTGCATAAATGAATAATGATTAGATAACTTTCTTGGGCACGTTTCCAGTATTTCGTCTCCGTGTATTTCACAATTTGTTCTGCAATGACCTTTATCTGCTCATGCTCAGACTGCAACCGTGAACTGGCTTATTACCGGTAGGTTTTGTTGACATAGAATACATGTACAGGTACATGTACAGTGGATCCCAACATTGGGATATTACGGCAACATTAATCATTAACACAGACAAATCAGTGCTCACAACAGCCTTAATTACATGTATGTGGGTGACTGAGACAGGCATCGTATCGCACTATGATAACCAATTTGGAAAGAACGATACGAGCAGTGACACTGCACTGCAGCAGAATACATGTGTAGGTGTACATGAAATTCAAATAAAATCCTGTTGTTTCTGGAGGGTATTTACATTCACATAAACACTCCTTTTTGTACAGTATAATATTTAACTACACTGTAGTTATCTTTTATTTTCATCACTAAATTCCCTACACTACATTGTACTGCACAAACCATGACATGCTACACATTATACAAAGCATGCATGCTGATATGAATAAATCACAAATTCCTGACATTTTCTATGTATGACACTCCTACATGTACAGTTAGCATTGTCTATTTGTGCTCATTTCTACGCTTCGTCAAACAGCTTTGCAGTTGAATCTATTTGTCATCATGATCAATCATATCACACTCACAGACAAAACGACAATAACAAAACCATACTCATGTACTGTACATGTATATGTACAGTGTACATCTAGGATATGCTTATTGGTAATATTAAAAAATTGTTACCATCAAATATTACTAACCTCATTTTAAAAATGATCCACATTAAAAAAAAGAGCCACATAAAAAAAAAAGAGCCACATTAAAAAAAAAGAGCCACATTAAGAAAAAAGGGCCACCTGAAAATAAAATGCAAACAGCACCTTGTTACAATACAAATGTAACAAAGCACAACAAAGCAGGAAGGAAGGACAAACGCCTTGAATAAATAATCTTGCACATGTTAATTTAACCTTACATTTTCAGCATGAACTTTGGAATAATACTACAGGGTGCTACAAAAAAAGTTTGACCATGTGCCCTACTACTGGAGAGGATTAAAGAAGCTGGGAACAAAATACTGATAATGATGGAAAATTCAACATCTATCTAAAAGGGATCGTTTAACAATGTAAAATCTGAGATACATGGCCCTACGTGTTATCAGTGTCTGTGATATGGTGTAATGATGAAGCCCTAAAAAAAATTGCGCTTCAAAATGATCAAGGACAAGAAGTGCCTCAAAAAATTTGAATTTTTGAGTGACCGGTTTTACCATACTCGTTCTCCCCAATAGACTATCGTGTTATGAAAACCGTTTGGCAAACGGTTTTCAAAATTTGTAATTCCAATCATAAATATCTCGATAATCAGACAGGCGATCGGCTTGTAAAATTCACAGGGTTTCTGACTGAACTAAAGATAAATAATTATCATTGCAGCATGAGCTAAATCCAGAGTTTTGCTTCAGAATCTGAGACAAAGTTACCGGATCCCTTAAAAATGTATTCTTGTACATATTAAGTAAACTTAGCATCTTCACTCTTCAGTATGAACTTTGTAGTAATACTACAGGGTGCTACAAAAAAGTTTTGCCACATGCCCTACTGGACAGTGATGAAAGAATCAGTAACCAAAAAACTGATAATGTTGGAAAATACTGTACATCTGCTATCTAAAAATGTCTCCTTGTACATGTTAAGTGTAAACCTAGCATCTTCAGTATGAACTTTGGAATAAGACTACAGGGTGCTAATAAAAAAGGTTTGCCATGTGCCCTACTGGACAGGATGAAATAATCAGGGTACATAACACTGAAAATGTTGTAAAATTTAAGTGCTTTCTAAGAATTTCTTCTTCACAACATACTGTACTGATAAAAATATAAAGATTTAAAGACAAAAATATTTTCTTTTATTCTAAATACCTCATGCTTCTTTTACTGATATTTACTTTGTAATCAAAATAAGTTTTGATATTCATCACTGCTGCAAGGTAAGTTTGAAATAGCCCCGAAAGAGCACAATAAGAAAGACAACAACTACTGGTACTCAAGTCAAGATTACCTATTTAGCAAATACTTAACTGGGACAAAGAATTCAACAGTTGTCTAAGAAATGCCACAGAAATGGTGATATTTGAGGAGTTACTAGAGTAACTACATGTACAGTAGGTTCATTTTTTTTTATAGGAAAGGGCCTGCTTGCATAGTAATTGCACATGTACATGTACTGTTTATGTTGATCCCTACACTAGAATCGTCTCTACTGCCCTCAGCAGTCAAAAGCAGTATAGTGGTCAATTTGAGCATAGTGATTAGCACCAACAATGGATGTGCAGCAGGCCCATTACAAAAAAAAATGTACGCATCAACTCCTCGAATATCACTATTTCTGTGGGATTTCTTTATAGAAGACTATTGAATTCTTTGCCTTAATAGGAAATTTGGATAGTTGTTGCCTTTTCCGATGTGTTTCATAGTATAGTATTAATGACTGCTTTGAGAGAAATAGTTGTTTTTATAAGCTCAAGGGAAGGTTAGAATTGTGCTATTGCCCGAGGCGTGCCAAGGGCAATAGCCCAATTGTAACCTTCCCGAGAGCGTATAAAAACAACTATTTCTCGAATATTAAAGCAGTCATTAATACTTTTATATGCCGAAAACAAAAGAGTCAACTAATGACAACACCTTGGCCTTTCTCTAGTTTATCTGCACGGTTGTTTTTTAACGAGTGTATCTTTGAGAGTAGACTAGATCTAGATTCTACTAGTCTAAGCAAGATATTTATACAATTTTGGGGGTGGGCCAGCCCTGTGGGTAATATGGAGAAGAACCTGGGCTTTCATATGACACCTCACTTATTGAGTATCACCTTCAGGATCACAACAGATAAAGGTTTGAATCTCGAATTGAAAAAAAAAAACATGACCTATTTTGCATGGTCGCGCAATGCACGTAGACTGCATAGAGACTGCATTGCGTGCAACCTCTATGGGAAGAATTTTAACACACAACATTGGGTGCGCGATCAGATCTATTTTCGTCTTCGTCTATGCTTTTTCAGCAACTAAACGAACATGTTTATGGATAATTTCACGTACCCTTTTTGTTGTTCTTGCTGTCAGCGAGTCTTGCATTTGATAAGTTGAAATCTTGGGAGAGTTTCTTTAGCCATTTTAGTCTTAGTGTTTGGAATTGTCTTGTCTTGTATGAAAATACTGACCAATTCTTCGCACACGTACGGTATCCTCGATCGCTCAAACCATTTTTAACATGTAAACCTATGGGTAACCATGGTTACTGGAATTTAAGAGCTATTTTTTAAAACAATTACATGGGTTTGGAATTTAACCGGGAATTTTACAGGAATAGTTAAAGTTTATGAATGCAATTTCGACCAATTCGATGGCTGGATTTCTTAAGTGAAGTATATAATTTTGAATGATATGTTGGTAAGATTACATACATGTATTTGTTTGGGTTTGTTTTGGCACATATTGCAGTTAATTGCCACTAATTCACTAAAAATCTGCACTTAAGTGAAAATTGATGACACCTAAATAGCAGTAAAATACAATCAATTCAAGTCATCGATGTTGGAAGAAATACTTAAAATTCTAAATCACAAGTCCATCGTCAATCTTGGCAGAGAGCCACTTACATGTAGTATTCATTGTGTGCATTAATTTCTTGGTCGCAGCAAACACGATGAATATCCGTGAAAACTTGATCCTTACAGTACCTAACTACAGTATGTCAAGCATATGTAAGATCCGGTAATGGAGTGTAGGGACTGAGATTTTGGCAGTCAATTTTGTTTTTGTTGATCATTAGCTGAAAACTTGATGCTTTCAAAACATCTAACGTGACTGAGGAAAATCAGCAACTGTTTCTTCAGTTTTTCGACGCAATTTTTGAGTTGTGCATCAGCTGGAAATTACAGAACTGATTTAATATGCTCATTTACGTAGCCTTCGTCATTCTGCACTAGACGGCGCGCTTGCGGACGTACTTGGTTTATGTACGTAAGGTGTGCTCAATTTTTGGCTGTGATCTGGCAGCATTGGTTTTGATAAGGGTGAATTGATATCATGTTTTTTAAAAAGTACTGCTGTTATTCTGCAAACTTGCATGCATACCTACATTTTGCACAAACTTACAATTTCTTGGGACTGCGAATTTGGTTGCTACCTACAATGTACCGCTTGAAAGCTGAAATTTCTTCGATTTTTCAGCACATAATGTTGGCTTATAATGGCCACATTTGGATGATCGAGAAATGAGTGGTGATTTTTAATATTTTGTTTGACTACTTTTATCATTCTCGTCTGATTTGACATGTTAGATTTGAATTGATTGATTTGTGTCGTTGTTCTTTTTTCTTTACACAAAGTCACAATCATGACAAAAAGTCTATTGTTGATAGCCAATACCTACAGTACAATGTAATTTGTAAAAGCCCAAGGACTAAAGAAAGTCTGAACTTAAAGGTTGAACAGGAGGGGCGATCGTCAAAGAATGAGGATCGTTTGCAAAAATGAGGATAATCTTGTAAACGCGGACAAATTGCGTCCTGAAAAATAAGGATCCTCTGCATTTTCTTCGGCGCTCTGCGAATGTACACGTAGGGTTCCCAATCTGCGCTGGCAATGCGTAATAAAATACCCCCAGTTCACCGTCTACTTTTGTCCGTCTTCCCAAGGATTTATCGTTCATGACGCGAAAATCTCTGTCCTGCGCCAATGAGAAATGCATCATATGGAGCATCGTCGTGGAATCCGTTTATTGCATCACTAACGTGCGTATCGGTAATACGGATCGTTAGAGGAAGTGCGGACGATTCCAAATTTTTTACTAAATTTTAGGACGCGATTTGTCCACGTTTACGAGGATATGCCCGTTTATGCGGACGATCCTTATTCTCGGACCAGCTGTTAATCTGAAAAAAATCAATCTTGAGAATACATTCACATTCACAAATCTCACAACAACGAAAATCCATGATTCTCGAACAATGTCGGTCATTGATCGAGTCATGTCATTGCCATTGCCATTGCACAACAGTGCAGTGTCAGTGGCACACATCTTGCAACACACAAATCACAATGATTCACCGAAATTCGGCGATCCTCCCTTTCACGAAATACATTTCTCAGTCAAAAGGACAACTTACGTTTGTTGGAACCAGCTGGCTGTTGTCTATCGGTACCATTCTTCAACCAAATCTTCTCAATTTAGTTTGCGTTGTCATATATTATTCTGAAACGATGAAATTCAGGCACTTTTTCTTCATAACATGACACTCAACGTGAAGAAATAAATATGACGATTCAGTGACCTACTGTGGTTCCGCTTCCGGGGTTAAGATACTTTCCGTGCGCTGCTTCCTCTGTTTTTAGTATTTCGAATGTATTCTATTTAGGCAAATGACAGCAGCGCAAAGACTTTGAAGCACCTCCATCAAAAGGCTATCTTATGAAGACGGGATATATCAGTTATGTTTCCAGTTTCACAATAAAAGCGGCCGCGTGCTACAAATAACAAGAGAGAGAGAGAGAGAGAGTCAGCGAGATTTTAATGAAGATGATGATAGAAAACTACTGTGAAATATGCCAGATAATAATAAGAAGTTAATACAACTTGATTAGTCTTTATTGATGATGATGGTGATGATGAAACTAGTATTACAACTACTACTTCTTCTACTTCTACTACCATACTAGTACTACTACTACTACTACTACTACTACTACTACTACTACTACTATTACTACTACTACTACTACTACTACTACTACTACTACTAATGATAATAATGATAATTATAATGATTTAGAAAATAATTGTAACAACAAAGCTTTGAACATTTGATTTCAAATGCATTTGGCGTCTTACAAATATCATATATCATTATTAGTATTGACATTCAAGGGTATTATAATAATAATAATGATAATGATGATGAAAATAATGATATTAACAATAACGACGGTGATAATAACAACGATGATGATAATAATGATAATGATAATGATGCAAAAAGGCTAGGTTTGACAAAGATCATTTTTTTTCTCTCTTTACCTCTTCAGAGGGACTTTATTATTACATTTTAAAATACATATAGACTATTTACAAAACAAGTAAAATGAAACTTGAATTATCACAAATCAAGTGTGATCAATAACATTTCTATTACTATCTTAACTTCTTAATTATCAAAGTATCTTGTATTTTTCTTGTATTTCAAATAACATTTCAATGATAAAATACAATTGTTTATTAGCCTCTTTGGATTGGTTGGTACTTCCCCGAAGTTCCGCTTTACGTAATCTTTGTATATTGCCAGGTGTGCATAATTTATCAAACTAAGTAAAATAAATTTTCTGTTATTTATTTTATATCCAATCAATAACATTTTCATATCATTTTATATTTCTATTTTAAAAATGAAACATATAATTCTTGAGATAATTTTCCAGAAAACTCTTAATTTCTTACAACAAAATATAAAATGCTCAATAATTTCTTTTTCACGACAAATTTCACATTGATTTCGTTAGACTGTACGATTTTCCATGTATTACATTAATCCATAGGATATTGCCCTCTAAGGACAATCTATTAGATTGTCCTTAGAGGGCAATATCCTATGGATTAATTTGAAATTATGTTTTTTGATATTATTGTATCTTATTATCTTATTAAATTTGAACTGAAATACATCTTTCCAAACAAATGTTTCAGGTAGGCCTAAAATATTTTGCCAAAAAATGAAACTTACTTTCTTTTTTTTCTTTTTTAGCATTAAACTATAGTAACTTTTCGCTTTAGTACATTCAACGTTGATAACATCTAAAGATGTCTCAATGTACAATGTTTCATTGAGACTTGAAGCTTTGTTTAAACAAAATTTTGTAATCAATATTTTGGGAATGCTTTTTTTTAATTTTGACATGTTGAATAAAAACAACAGATTCTTTACATCAAAATGTTTATTGAATAGAGAGTTATGTATCCATATACCTTGATTTATAACATGTTTAATTTGAAAAATTCCTTCTTTTATCTACGACGGGAAATGCAGAGGTGTATTATTAATTACAATATTTCATTGGGAATATCTTTTAATTCAAATTTATTTACATATCGAATTTCTGACCATGTGCAAAGTAAATCCATATAAAACATTGGTAAATTTCTTTTTTTACATATCATTTTCATGTGTTCGATATGTTATTATACTGTAAACATAACGGCATCCCGTCAACTCTTTCAGTCCAAAATGAAAATAATGTCTTCCACATTGCATCATCTGCATTAAAAAAAATAATATATATAACTTGGATAATCTAAGTCAATTAGCTTTCAAAATAAAAATCGACCATATTAAGTCCCCCTTCTCTTTCTGACTTGATACACACATTGACAAACATCATGGTTTCTTCTTCTTAGCTCCATACGCGGGGGGGGGGGGTCACATTATTCATAACAGTTGAATAACATAATTCGTAGCGAGGCACTAAAGAAAGACGGCGCATTACATATAGTTAAGTTAAGACAATGACCTAATAGTGATGATCTGCATGATATACCCTTGATTCTAACCCCATGCTTTAGACATGCACTGCCCGAAACGTATTTCTATCCCCTGTATATACGTTACATTCTTTTTATTCATCCTGCCATTGACTATATTATAGGGCCCCGCTGGCCCGCTCACAGGCTTAGCTTCTAAAGGGGTCCTAAAACCATTTATTTTATAATGTAATCAAGTTAATATATGTTGATTAATGTACTATTACCAGTCTCTTTTTCATGTGAAAAAAATTATCACGTTTTCTATGGTTTTGAATAAAAATGACTTTGAACTTGAACTTGATACTGATTCCCTCCCCCAGAAATGATGTCATGTTACATCACTCATTGCCTCCCTAGCTGTTCTTGACTACAAACTCATTGGCACGAATTCACAAAGGAGGTTTGTCGACAAACCTCCTTTTGTTTCGATAAACCTCCTTTTTAAATTTATAAACCAGGTTTTACAAAAAAACGCGTCAAAACGCGTCATATGACGTACATAAACCTCGGTTTGTCGACAAACCTCCTTTGTGAATTCGGGCCCTTGGGTCACGGGTTTGAAACCAATTCAATGTGCTAGTGTCCCTTGTCTTTGGTAAGGCATTAATCCTCATTACCAAGTCCTTCGAAGAGTACTTCAAGCCGTCAGTCCCCTGGTTGTTTACCTTCAAGCACACACATGTTTTCTTAGCAACCGAGAGGGAGGGAAGGGGGGCACTGATTCACCACTGTGTACCGATACATAGTACAAGACTGTATAAACCTTTTCACTCACATGCCTTTAGAAGCCAGAATCCTACATTGATAAACATATAGTTTATATAATTTTTTACGAATTAATATTCTTTAGTGCAAACATTTGCCAATCCTATTGTTTGTTCTTTTCCGCACAATCCCCAAATACAAACAGACATCTTTATGGCTGATTTGTATGCAGGGGCTTCGCGAGGGGGGGGGGGGGGGTTAAACACTCCTACTCAACATTTCTGTTGGCAAATTTGCATTGAGGAGAGGGGGAGGGGCAGTGTGTCAGTAGATTTGAAGATCTACATAGGCTACGTAGTGTTGTTGTTTTGCTGGTTGGAAAGTTTTTGATAACTTTTAGAACAGTTTAGTCCGACAATCACCAGAGTGATTTCCCTTGTTGTTATAATGCCATGATTTAGAGCTGAAAAGGAAATCAGGGGGGGGGGGGGGTAGTCCTCTATATAGGGCAATTTTAAGTGTTTTTCTTATACAGATTTTATAGATAGAATGATTGAGAAAGAATTATGCCACTGAGTGAAAAGTATTATTATCATTCGTCTCTTTTCCCCTCTCCTGTCTAATAAACTACTACCCGCATCCCCGTCCCCCCCTCTCTCTCTCTCTCTCTCTCTCTCTCTCTCTCTCTCGCTACATATATCTTTCTCCCTCTCTCTCTCTCTCTCTCTCTCTCTCTCCCCATCCCCTCTTTCTCTCTCTGCATTTAATGTATGTCTGTCTATATTTCTCCCCCCCCCCCCCCCCCCCCCCCCCCCCCCCCCCCCCTCCCCCCCCCCCCCCATTTTCTCTCCCTCTCTTTCTTGCTTCCTCCCCCTCTATCCCCTCCCATCTTTCTCTCCCTGTATCTATGTATGTATGTCTTTTTTCTCCCTTTATATAATATTTATATCTCTCTCTCCCTCCCCCTCTTCCCCTCGCTCTCCTGCCCTTTCTCTCTCTCTCTCTCTCTCTGTATGTCTGTCTGTTTCTTCCCCCCTCTCTCCCCGTCTCTCTCTCTCCCTCTCTCTCTCTCTCTCTCTCTCTCTCTCTCTTCCTCTCCACCCTCTCTCTCTCTCTCTCTCTCTCTCTCCCCCCCCCCCCTCTCTCTCTCTCTCCCCTCCCTCTTCTCGTTTGATTTTACGACGTTGGAAACAATAACATACTAATGAAGCACAGGTTTGTATTTATTGATTTTGTTTCACAAAACTACAATTCTTTTTCGTACATAACATAGAAGCAAGACATCTAAATAGCATAACATATAATTAACAGAAGTTGTTATCATTTGATAAACGAACGTAATTATACATTCATTAAATATACTTTCTTACAATGCATGTGCTTGAAATTTTTTGAAATATATAACACAATTATTAAATACTATGAAAATATTTCTGTACGCCATATTTCATGAACCAAATACAAGAACAAGCATTGCTGTTTTTCAGAATAAAACTTAATACTTTTAATAAAATTATGATATTCATATTTCCCAACATACACTTATTAAGAATTGAAGTTATGGGTCTTTCTTTCATCAACAAATGTCATCTACCCCAAAACCCTTCTTGAACAGTTCAAGAATCGAGTTAAAGAAAAGGGAAGGGAGTGAGATAAGACGTTAATAACTCCTTATCCTTCCTATTCTACTTTTGTGGATAGGGAATTTCAATTTTGGGACAGGTTTCTTTACTATCGAACTGACTAATAACTGTTAAATGTCGCCTTCGCCCCACATGTAGCTTGTTCTCACTATAACTTTTCGGTTTTCCTATTTTCTCAGATGCAGGGGAAATTTAAATATTACATTTTAGGGCCTCTCTATTTTTTCCTTACTCTCTCTCTCTCTCTCTCTCTCTCTTGCTCTTATATATATATATATATATATATATATATATATATATATATATATATATATATGTATCACTCCTCCCCCTTTCTCTCGTATATATATCTCCCTCTATTATATCTGTCTTCTCTCTTTCATGTCCCCCTCTATCTGTCTGTCTACCTGTTTGCCATTCTCCCATCTTTTTCTTTCTCCCTCTATCTCCCATACTCGCTCGGCTTATCCACCCTCTCTTTCTCTCTGTCTCTCGCTCTTCCTCTCAGTCGCTCTGTCTCTCTCTCTTATATATATTTCCTTCTATTGTCTTTGTCTTCTCTTTTTCATGTCCCCCTCTATCTGTCTGTCTCTCTACCTGTTTGCCATTCTCCCATCTTTTTCTTTCTCCCTCTCTCCCATACTCGCTCGGCTTATCCACCCTCTTTCGCTCTCCCTCAGTCCCTCTCTCTCGCTCTCTCTCTCTCTCTCTCTCTCTCTCTCTCTCTCTCTCCCTGTCTCTCTCTCTTTCTAACTCTCCCTCTCTCTTTATCCCTTTCCATTACAAAACTCTTTTGTACCTAAATCAGCGAACCGCTTCTAAACAAATATGTGACCTTACCATTTTCCACCCCGATTATGCATGGCGCTCATCTGCACACACAATTCCTGATAAACAAGTCGAGAGGAGAACACGCCAACCTGTTCCATTGTACCTCAAACAATACCCCATCTTTAGTCACCCTTGGCTCATAAAGAAAATGCAAAAATCTGACTAACAATAAGCACCTTATTCGTTCGACGACGCCCTACAAAAGTTATTGAAGTATGACGTAGTTTACGGGTGTAGAGTCCAATACGCAGTACAGAGTGCGTTTCACTTTGCATTTACTCGCAGTTACGACTTTTCTGTTAACGTTTCGCCATTTTGTTTTGGAAGAGGCGTTGTCTGTGTTTGCGCTTTTCTTGATTATTCTCGACAGTATCAATTTCGTCTTCGTTCTGCTGTTTTCCATTTCTTTGTGGGATAACTAATTACAGAAAAGGTATGTAGAAAATCGTTCTCTGACTAGTTTTGTAGTTTGAGTGAACTTTCGAGTAGTTTGTGTACATGTATATTCAACTGCAATGTGAACAAGAACAGGTCAATATATCACCGTTGTTTATTGTATTATATCATTTTTGCAAATTGACATCGATCATGGGTTGCGCATATTTCTATATATTTAGCTTTATTACAACTTTCATTTACACTTGCTGACTAATCAAAGGTACAAATCTAAACTGATTTCCTGGCAAACTGTAAGTTTATAAGATAAGAGTAGACTTTGTATTAACCAATACATCATGTAAACTGTCAATTTGTGTACAAAGCCACGAGTAAGAGGTAGCAACGGGTTATTAAGTGAAGGGAGAGGATCGAGAAAGTAATAAAATGGGAAGGGATGGAGAAAGAGGAAGAAGAGAGAGAGAGAGAGAGAGAGAGAGAGAGAGAGAGAGAAAGAATGGGGGCAAGGAAAAGGAGGATTGAGATAAGGAGAGAGTAAAGTGTAAATAGTATGCCAATGAGTAATGAATATTCCTCATGCACTTAGTTTCCATTGACGTTCTTCGATCTTCCTTTCTTTCTGCCCCCCCCCCTCTCTCTCTCTCTCCCTCTCTCCCTCTCTCCCTCTCTCCCTCTCTATCTGATAGCTGCAGTTTTGTGCAGCCGTCTGCGTATACGCCTGTGTTCCCCACTCTCTCTCTCTCTCTCTCTCTCCTTTCATATCCCTCTCTCTCCTTTCCCTCTATCTTTCTTTCTCTGTTTATTTCTTCTAATGTTGTTTAAAAGGTTAGCGCACATGACAGAAAACATATTTACATGTAACAAAATTATTATTTAATAATTTAGGCCTACATATATATATATATATATATATATATATATATATTATATATTCATCCGTTATTGTTATACATTTATATATTTTGTTTTTTGTTTTGTTGTTGCTTGTTTTGGGATAAAACTTTCGAAACAGTTATACATCTCAGGAACTTTTTGAGATTCTGGATCAATTAGTGAGGGAAAGTTAAAGCTAGTCAAAACGATGTGTCGGGAGAAATCGTAATTGAAGTACCAAATATCAAGTATTTTAATGGAAAACGAGGGCAAATATGGCGGGGCAAAAAAAAAGGTAGACGAAAAAGGAGATATATAATTAAAGTGAGAATTAGAAGATAGGAGGAGGTAGATAAGAAGACAAGAAGAAGAAGAAGACACACAGTTGGTTTATTTTAAAAAAAATATAAAAAAAAACTGCATGTAAAAATATTTTTAAAAAACGTTGAAGTATATGTTGAAAGAAGATGCAGATTGTAAACCAAGATATAGTTTTAAAAGAAGTATCTACAAGAAGAAAAAGAAGATTAAGAAAAAGACGACGAAGAAGAAAGATGAGGAGCGGGAGGGGAAGAATTAGGAGGAGGGGGAGGAAGAGAAGGAAAGCATAATGAATTTATGCCGTTAGATGGAGAAAGGTTAGGGGAAATGTAATGAATTAGAGATTAAATTTAAACAAGGATTTACATGTATCACATCTTCTGACACACTTTTGTAGGCTTTTCATGTCAATATTATGACAATCGTTCACCCACTCTTCGAGGTGATGATAAACGTGCTTTTACCAGTGTTCGATGTTAACTATGATTTAAATAAAATTAAACTTTACTGCATTCTTTCTGAAGCTAATCCCGATAGATCATCAGCTTACATTTCATGTTCATTCGTCTAATTTTCATGTTCATTCTTTCACTAATATTATTTTATTCAGGAGTAAATACAAATGAAAGTAGCACAGTCCGTCTTCATTGACGTAATTTTAACGAAAACATGTTTTTCATTCTTTTATCAGTATAGTTAAAATGGTTGGATAATGCATATTATCACTTTGGATGATCATTTTGTCATGCCCCTCCACACAAAAAGAACCCCTGTATTGTGCGTTTTGATTTTAATTAAAAACAAAGCAGGTAAAGCGCTTTGTAGAGACATACTAATAATTCACTTCGCATGAGCAGATAATACATGTAGGTGACGTATACAAAATAATTATGTGTTGATTTTTTTTTTTAAGTACGTGTTTCTAAAAAGGTAGTATACATACTTTAACAAAAACATATAGCACAAAGGTTATCTTTAATACATCGGTAATCGCGATGTCTTTAAATTGGTTATTTTAATTTTTAATCTTAATTTTTCTTCTGATTTTTGTTCTTCTTCAGATGGGTTTCAACATCCTCGCAGCTCTCGTTGTTTTCCTTGGCATGTGTGGAGCAGCCAATGCTAACCTAGCAAGTAAGTCAATGCAATTTAATTAGAAATTTGACTCTTTCACTTGTGTGACAACAATACCACTTGTATTCGGCCTATATTTCAAACCGCTCCTGACATGCCTGAAATTTCCATGATTTATAACTCAAAAGGTTCGAAATGATATCAATCCAGCATTTGCATAGTGCCAACTTTAAATCCCCCCCCCCCCCCACTGCACTAGTTTGGCCAGGATGGATTAGACCTCCCGGCAAGGTCACTGATAGGTGGCTATCTCATCAAATAGGATCTCAATTAACATAAGAAAAGGGGATCATGGGAGACCAATGGTCACCTGTTAGGCATTGTTTGCAATATAGAGGGCACAAGTAGCTATAAGTAGTGCAGTGGTAAACTTTTAATGATTCCCTTGAGTTGATCTAAAAACCTTTCCTAATATGATACTTTTAAGAGTGTTTTAAAGTTCATATTGAATCCATTTTGAAAATTCAAAGTCATAAATTCGTGTATCAGGAATCAATTCAAAACAAAATGCCGTTGTGAATTGCATCTGCCAAATTTCCAGGCATACCAAAAATACACTTTGCAACAGAGTAATTAACAAGTCATGTCACTTACGTTCATAGCAAACAGAAATATACTATAACCTTTTAAATATGTAGCACCCGTCAACTTTCAAATGTGCACTTTGAGTTATTACCTATCAATTGCGTTAAGTTTTGGGGCGTTTTTTGTTAATGTCACGTTTAGCCTACATAACTATTACATAGTCTTCATACAGTTGCTCATGTTTTAGTTGGAACAATTCCAGAACCGCAATCCTATTTCAATGACAGACACAAGCAACAGACACAAGCAACAAGTACATGTTATTGTACTCCTACGAAACTTGCATACGGACATAATAATGTACCACTCTGTGCAAAAGCTCCAAAATGCCGCCATTGTTTGTCTTACCTGACGTTTTTGTTGAGTTCCACGTATCATATCGTTGCTCAAATATTTTAGTGTCTCTAGTTTTTTTCAGTCAATTTCTGCTCCAACGAGTTCTTTTAGTCTCAGTTTCAGTTTATTGTTTCCATATTTCACATCATACACATGTCATATTTATCTTGATTATTTTTACTTACCTCCATACTTTCAAGCTTTCAATTATGTATTTTTTTTTTAAATATTTTATTTTGTGTGCATTAAGTTGTCACTCTTGATGTAAATCAATTATATTATATACTATTATTGTTATTTGAATGTTTTATATTTGATTTATCAATAAATGCAGAAACATCTGCTAAAAAAAAAAAAAATATTACAATGTAAAAAAATCTTTGTAAATTATAATCATACAAAAAGAAATTAGAAAAATGTAGTTATTGATCGAGTTATTTAACAGCTTTTACAAGAAGACGAATATATTTATTTGATGATAGCGAAATATGACGACGCCTAATAAAAAGCAAAGCTTGTAAACCACTGGTTCCGTTACATTGAACACGTATTAACAGAATTCCACAGTACAATACATGATTGGATACAAAGACACGCACTTCACAGTTCAACGGATCTTATTGAATAGACTTGGGGGTGTTTCACAAAGACTAAGATCAACTTTAAGTTGGAACTTAAATATGACAGGCCAGTCATGCCACTGTTTGCTATCACCTTTTACTTGCATTGGTCCATCAAGGAACGTACAAATCATGGTCACAAATCTACAAAATTTACATTTTTTTATAGTTCATTATTGAAGGAAAAAATATTAACTAAAGATCATAATGGTGAGAGCAAACAGTGGCATGAACGGCCTGCCATATTAAGTCCAACTTAAAGTCGATCTTAGTCTTTGTGAAAAGCCCCCAGTTCACAAATATCTGGCTGATTTCTGACCACAAAACCTCAGTGCTTTCTGTTTTTTACGATGCTTACAAAATCAGAGTACAGGTCAAGCATGGATTGTTGTGTCGGGAAAGTGGTGAATTGCCCTTTGGTCTGCAACTAGTTGTCACGTACTATCCAATTTGTTTCTTCCCATTTATTCTACATCCAGCCAATCTATTACCCATTTGGTCTAACTGCCAGTCGGTCTAATTTCCAGTTTGTTTAATGCCCATTCTGTCTTCTTAAATCATAAATAATTATAGTCATCAAATGAATATTAGACCTTATGGATGTTAGACGAAATGGGCATTAGACAAACTGGGGATAAGACCGACTGGCAAGTAGACCAAATGAGTAATATTCCAAATGGAAATAAGACAAAATGACTATTAGCCTTAATGGTCATTAGACCAAATGATAAGTAAACGAAATGACTACTAGTATTGGACCTAGTATTGGACCATATGGATAGTACTAGACGGGCTAGGTGTTGACTATATCATATGGGAATAGACCAAGTGGGTAGTATAGACGAACTAGTTGTAGACCAAACGGGAGAGTGTCGATAGATGCAGCTCCGGTGACAAATCGCTCTCGTGCTTTATTTCGTTGATAATTATAGAATAAGGGTTTGGGTTGCAACTGTCATTTTTGTTTCTTAAATTGTTACCCCTCTCCTTTATAAAAGCACAGATCTGCATCCGCTAAATTTTAAAATTGTTTTCTTAACTTGTAGCACAAATCTACACATGGACGGAGGTGTCCGCTGGGGTCGCCGGCGTGGTCGCCATCCTAGTCGCTCTCCTCGGCATCTCAAGATGCGTGCACGAGTTCACCTGCCGAAAATACCAGAACGAACCAGAGGCCCTTCGATCCATTGACATCGGAACCGGAGAGAACACCAAACTGTAGAGAGAATGGAGTGTTGAGGACTGGGGGCCCATTTCACAAAACTTGCCCTCAGTGACAAATGACAGTTTTTGTTATAAGCTACTGAAACCCTTGCTTCTGATTGGTTCTCAGCAGATTTGTAACTGATTTTTGTCATCTGTCATTGCAAAAAGGCTTTGTGAGATTGGTCCTAGGGCGTGGCCATGAAGGGGCGAGAGGTAGGGGTGGAACACGTAAGAGGGTAGGGAGGGTTACAACACAAAATCATTTCACGATGGCTCTTTGGAGGGGTGCATCACAATGGCCAGGGCGTGGTCATCAAAGGGTAGGAGGGAGGGGTGGAACACGTAAGAGGGTATAGGTTTACAACACAAAATCATTTCATGATGACTCTTTGGAGGGGTACACCGCAATGACTTTGGGTGTTCTGGATAGGGTGTGGCCAAATTACTGCGGAGGAGGAGGGAATTACGTGACAACGGCATTACCAGATACAAAAATATATATTTTTAAACAACTCTTAATACAAAAACCCATGATGGGCCGTCTAAAAGAACCAAAATGGCCGTGAATTAAAAAAAGTTATACAAAAACCGACAAAATTTCCATTTGACTTGCAAATCAGTATATGTTGAGCAAATGAATGGTGTATGTTACTTGTTTAAGGTACACACTAATGTAGTAATTTTACGTGGTTTGTGTGTGGGAAGATACTATACCGGCCTTTTTAAAGACCTTATACTGTATATATTCTACGTTTGTTATGTCACTGTGTTATCTATCCAGTACTATTAGAATGAAGAAGAAAAATAAGGTTTCATAGATTTTAATGAGATATTTCTGTTGTATTTGCACCTGTAGAAACTTTCCAATCACACTTAAGTCTTTGCATTAAATAGATTAGAACTTGAGGTATATATTATACTGTAAAGAAATGCATTTATCGAGATATTCTGAGTCAGTTGTGCCTGTATCACAGTGGTTTTAAATATGTTGCTCAAAATCGAACACCATAAAGATTCAGAATTTCAGTGGAAATTGTTCATGTCGTGATCTTAAATACAACTACAGTATGTGCTCTCATTTTGATATTACAATCTTTCTTAACGCTCCTGCTGCATTTTTATGATCACGTCATAATGCCTATCTTGAATAGGCATATATGCCATCTTTGCTATTCCATCAACATGCATAATGATATAGCATTCAAAGTCCTTTGATCTTAAATTTATTTTCAAATACCAAAACAAAATCAAAGTTCGATCTTAAAACGGGTGCAAAGTCAACTATTCCCCATGTACCAACAGGCTTGAGGCTGTTCATTTCGTCTTTCAAAGTAGTTGCTTTTTTATGAAGTGTAAACATTCGAAATTTTATCATCATCTTTTCATGTAGTTGTCATTGTAGATCCGTGTATTGTTTTTATTTTGTGCATATGTAATTTGTTTTTTTATTTGATCTTTATTTTTATTTTTCATATATTTTTCTCAATATGAAGGGGATGTACAAATAAACTTTCACTATATGGCTGACAAAACGATTAAATAAAATTAACTAATTGAGTTGGTATACATTTCAATATTTCACTACATTTTAATCATGGTAATATGTTTGTATCTCTTTCTCTCTTTTGTTTAGAGAGAATGTTACTTTTTCATATTGATGATAGTTAGTAAGTGGGATTTTAAAGTACGAATGTGCTTATGTTTCTATCTTTTTCCCCTTTTAATCATAGAGGAAATTCTATTTTAAAGAGATGTCCAAATCTTTTTTTCTTAGGGGGGGGGGCAACCTCAATCAGCAGAGTATCGAAGGGGCCGGGAATTTAGTTTTCATTGTTAACTTTATTGCCATTTTAGTGTCTTTCATTTGTTTTTATTTTTTAAAGTAATGAAAATTTAATTGTTAAATAAATTTGTAATCATTTCGAGTAATACGCTGTTGATTTCATGGTACTTTTTTTAAATTTGTATTATAGAGGAATATAAATCAATAGACCAACCTCGTAATGTAATGTAATAAATCTTTGTTTAAATGCCTTATTACAATTTATTTCATTCACCTGTTACAAATAATGGTATCTCAACAGTCAGAATGCGAATTGCATACATGAGTTGTTGCTAGGTTGGACAAACATTATAGCTTGCCCTACCTAGCAACACTTAATGTATGCAATATGTATTTTGACTATTGAAATACAATTATTCATAACAGGTGAATGAAATCATTCGTTTCCAGACACACTTCACGAAGACGGATGCATTAAATTTGGTTACATAACGAAAATGGCCAATTGAAAGGGAGAAAAAAAAAGGATGAGACTGACTGTACAAGTGAAGTGGAGTGAAGTGAGGGGCTAACGAGTGAAAGTTGAATGATGATTCGTAATGGATTGAAAATGGACATGAAATGAGAAACAAGTATGAAATGAGATGAATATTGTCAAATAATAAAATATCTGGAAGAGTCCCTTTGAAACAGAATTTGGTATTTTATCACAACTTTATATGGTTTGTTGATAAATAAAATAAAACAATTATTATCGGAGGGGGTAGGAGGGTTTAAGGGAGGGGCGTTGATGTATACGGGGCACATCGAGCAAAAGGACAGGGACGATAGGCGGGAGATTACCCCACAAATGAAGAGAGAAGGAGAGAGGAAGATAGACAGACGTAGTTTGTCGCATTTACTGAAATCGTTGTGCATGAGCCAGCTGGGATTGATTAATAATGTGTAAGCGAGTTCTATAAAGGGCGCCCCCTTTTGGTTATTCTAAACGCACTCACGTAAGAAGGGTGATAAAATCATGTAGCTCTTTTATTTCATGGATATTACTAGCATGATAATTGTATCTATGAAAAGCAAACGAACAAAGAAACAACCCCTCCCTCCCCCCCCCCCAAAAAAAAAGCCAGAGAAACTACAGCTCAAATATATTAGGTACCCATGTACTAAAAATGGGCAAATGCCTTTATCGAAACATTTTGGCCCTTTATTTCTTCTACTTATTCCTCCTCCTCCCCCTTCTTCTTCTTTTTTTCCCCCACTCGCTTTGAATATGAGTACATGTATGCTATATGCAGTGGTAGACTGTATTTCAGGGCAAATACTGTAATCACTTAGTTCATTTCTGCTTAATGGAAGTCTGTAAAATAGAATTTCCTTCCGCCAATTTCTTTACTTTATCCTAAATGCGTCGGGTGCGAGGAGAGAAGTAGAAGAAGTCTTGATGAAAAAGAAAAATAACACCGGGATGGGATGAACAGCGAGTCTCAAAGCTGATCATCATAATCTTGTAATGACGAAGATTAAAAAAGACACCAGGGAGCGCGATAGGCAAACGGGAGAGAGGTAGAGAGAGAATGGAAGGAGGAAGGGAGGGCTAGAAAAGAGGAGTAGAGAGAGATAGAGAATCGAGAGAAAAGGGGAAGGAAGAGATAGAGAGAGAGAGAGAGAGAGAGAGAGAGAGGAGGGAGAGAGAGAGAGAGAGAGAGAGAGAGAGAGAGAGAGGGGAAGATGTTATTTTTCATCCCGAATCTCGGTCAGGAATCCAGGTTTAGGTCGTTAAGTCGGGCAGCAAATTTGATTAATATATCGCTCGCATGACCTGACTCTCAATTATCATTATGTTCCCCTGATCAACCTGTCTTATACAGTATACACACTCCCTACCAGTGGTGTAACCACATGGATTGGTGGGCATCTGACATGGGGGTGGGGTGGGGCGGTCGGGGGATGCCTGTCACCATGGTTTGGAAAAGGGCAACACAAGATCAAATATCTCTCCCCATCCCGTTTAAAAAACAAAAAACAAACAAAAGAAAGGAAAAAAACACAACCGAGGCACCCTTTTTTTTTTCTTTTTGGCGGACCGACAAAACTGTCTCGAGGAATAATTTCAACATGAAAATAATTGCAATAACAGTGCTAGTAACTGTCGTGACTGTTAGGCTACTCTATAGACAGACAGTAATGCTCTCCAACATTCAAATATTATCTTGTTATGTTTTGCTCATCATTCGGCACCCAAGGCTCTATTTCTAATTAAGGGAGTACTAATGAGCTAAGACATAAAAATAAAATCCTCCCAGAGGCAGATGGGTTCCCCAGTACAGCGGCACGTGCCTTGGCATATCAATTACCCATCTTCGCCAGACGCGAGGTATGTTTCTCTCCGAGTAATGTCATAATCATATGGTGATGGTTGAGCTCAGTGGCGTAGCGACTACGAGGGTTGTCGGGGGCACCAGTATCAATCGGGGGGGGGGGGGGCGTGGAAGGGGTCCCAGTATCACACCCTTCTATCTTTACATGGCTTCTGATTTTAGGAAAAGGTGCGACAGGAGGTCCTATCTACTGATTTTCTCGTCCCCTTCCCATCCCCTGTTTACAAGGCATGTGATCATGCAGATTAGGAGGAATGGGGGGGGGGGGGGGGTTGCGAGAGGGGCCCTATCATCTTTCTTATTCATCATTTTTCCACTCTCCGTTTCATTGCATGGCCTCTGATTAAAGGGGGGTCCCACTACCTACTTTTATCACCCTTTTTCCATTCTCCCTCTCTTCACAAGGCATTGGATTAGCAATAGGGGCGGAAGGCTAGTCCCTTTCACCATTTCACTCTCCCCCTCTTTATTTGTTCCTTGTTATAGCCATTCAAATTCCCCGGTCCTCCCATTAGCTACGCCACTGCCCGCTAATATCTTTCTCAGAGGGTGAAGTCTGAGCCAGAGACATTAATGACATTAAATATTAATGACTAGATGACAAATTGCACATTCCACCTGCTTTGCGGTGCATTTGATGTTCATCTCTGAAAATAATGATAACACAAACTGTCATATTTATGATATTAGTCATGTAAAAGCAAAGCTTTACCATGTCATTCATTTGTATTATTCTCTTTAACTGGTTTCCCAACATTCTTTTCTCGTGATCAGAATGCCTTAATAAGGCCTGTATTTTGTTAAATAATTTATATAATAATTATTATTAAGTTATTCATCGGTTGTATTAGATACTTCATTATAATCAATCATCACCATCATCATCATAATATTCAATATTAGCACAATCATCATCATTGTCTTCTCTTCATCGTCATCTTGGTCTTCATCATGATCATCATCATCATCATAATAACAATCAACATTTGCATTATCATCATCATCGTCGTCATCGTCGTCTTCCTTATCATCATCATCAACAACACCATTAGCACCCCTTTCACAAGTATACTCACCACCACCACCACCAACACCACCACCACCACCACCACCACCACCATACTTATCATCATCATCATCAACATCATCAACATTATCACTTTTTCATATTCAACGCCATCTCCTTTAGTATCGTCATTAATATAAATTGTGTTGGTATTCGTAGCAGTAAATGACATTGTTTTGTTCTTTTATGCAAGCAAACAGCTCTTGTTTGCGGTAATAATCTTAACTCTTCTTCCTTATACATTAGTCTGGATAATGTTTGAACTCTCCTCCTACTGCGCGCGGCAAAAATGAACTTAAGTGCAAGAGCAGGCGATGCTTTTGTAATGTGTGTACGCTGTGATGCACTTCGCACGAGCCTTTCGCTTACTTAGTTCCCGAACCTTGCACTGTCAACGAGACAAGCCGTGAAAATACCTGGAATTCATGCAAGAAATGGAGATTCTAGTTGTCTTGTCTTGTGTTTGAAGGCTGTGGAGACAGATCTGCTCTTAATCTTGGCTTGAACAATGGATGCTTTCTGTAATTACGTTTCGGAGCCCAAAAAGGAGCATCATTTAGGAAGGAGCGGAGATTAGCAACATCGCACCAGGTAAGATTCTTGAACTTGGGTATTACTGTTTATGTCATGCACATGTTCGTAGACGCGAGACGAGTCGGCTGTACGTAATGTTGATGAATGTGGCTCACCTCGATCAACTCAAGTATTGGACTTACACTATGGGTACGTTTATGCTCAACTTTGAAGGCAGAATGAGCGATTTGAAACGCTTATTGTAAACGCTCATCGGAATCGCAGTTCCACGGTGTACTGTTTATGCTCACTAGTTCTCTGGCTCCTCCAGGCATGATTGTGGTTCTGCAGCTGGATTCGCTTCTCCAGAAACCATCTTTTTGCAGAATCGCCGATCCAAAACGTACCTTTTTGTGAGTTTACGATCGGCGATTATTATCCGTTTTTTCGGTGATTCTACATAAATGAGAAAGGACGCAACCGTGTTTTGAACTAAACGCGTAACAGATGCCTGATTCTGGCAAGAAAAAGTTGAGCATAAACATACCCTCGATCAACTCAAGTATTGGACTTCATTACATTTAGACTGTAGATTGTCCGTCATGAACTACTCCTTGTGTGCACAGTCAGCGCTAAGCAAATAACCTTGTCGTCTTTATAATGTCAAATGCTTGCAAGAAAGCTCGAGCAGCACTTGGAAGTTGGAAAGACAAATTTGTTTGATAAAAGGTGGCGCTTTTCATGCGTCAGTTTTGTTACAAAAAGGGAATCAATCTATTTCTGCGCCTCCGTAACCCGTGAGACGTTTTTATTCAAAGAAAAATGGCTACAGCAAAAACTTGAAAAAGAGAGAGAAAAGGTAAAAAGAGGAATGGGAGTGTCAACAGAAGACCGATTGGACACCCCCACTCGATCGCCTTGCTCCCTCGCATTTTAATTCACCGAGTTAAACAGGGGCGCCCCCTCATTGCTGCATTACTAAACAGTCTAAACGCTAAAGGAAATGTTCAAGTGCGAGATTTTAGTACAATGTTAACAAGACCAACACTGGTTTGGGGAGACACGCCCACCTTTTGCGATAATCATCTTTCCATATTTGAAGAAAGCTGCTAGAAACCCAAGATATTTCACCTACATGTACTCTCTAGCGTCTTTCAACACATTGTAATTTGCAGACGTTTCTACACGT